TTTGAATGACAATTTGAAAGGACAATTTTGATGCGTTCCACGGGTGGAGGCCCATAGCAAGTTGATATTCAGAGTAATTTCATAATTAAAATATCTGTAATTATTTGATTGGTATATTATCTCAAAATAAATTGCGCATTACCTAAATTTATAACACATCTTATCTGAAAAATACTTGTAATTCAGTCTGTAAAAGTTTTATAGTTTTACCAATCAAGGGCTGAAGTTACAAACAGCACAATTTTGAATCAAAGTCTCGAGTTGTATTTATTTTTTGCATCTAATATTAGACATTTTGATTGTACAGTTTTGAATGTTTTATTATTTGTTTGCTTCTTTTTACCCTGTAATATTTTGCTTTGTTACAGTTTTATTACTCAGACACTAACAACAACTGACTGTTGTATGTCTCCACAAACAAACTAATCATCAAACAACATTGCACAGTAAAGATTGCACAAATGAGCACAAGTAGTGTTTATGTTCAACTAGGTATCAATTGTTTCATTTGGGTGTTGGTTTGTTTTGTGTTTTTTATGTCCTGAGCTGATACCCCCACTGACACACTAATTGTTCTCTCAGTCAACATAACAAACCAGTTTAGACCTCTTAAGGCAGCTACATAAATCATTCATGTGTGTGTGCCAGTTGTAATGTCAGTGTGAGCTGCTTTTAATGTTTAACAAGTGCTACATCTGTGTGCCACACGTTATCGTCCCTTGACCAACAGTAGGGGAGACACAGTTGATGTTAAGTGATGCAGATTTAATGTTGAAACTATTTGCAAAAAATCTCCCCAGAATAAGTAGTTAAAGGGACAGTTCATACCAAAATCCAAATACATATTTTCCTCTTACCTGCAGTGCTGTTAATCATTCTAGATAGTTTTGGTGTGAGTTGCTGAGTGTTGCAGATAGATGTCATCCAGCTTGTGGTGCTCAAAGAGCCAAAAAACACACTGGAAAACTCAGCAAAAATGTCTCTTTCTAGAAAGCATGAGTTATTCAAGATAATGTACGGACATTGTTGTGAGCAGTTTCATGTAGGAACTGTTTTCTCTCTACTGAACTACACCCGCCAACTGTATCACAGTGCAGAGAAAATCGTGTGTCTGCTTATGGGCCATGCATGTGACTGCAAGATTTAAACACTGCGTAATGTTACAGCTCAGCCGAGGTGGATGCCATTAATGTTTGCATCTTGCGTCGTCAAGAGCACCAGCCTCTTGTCCATGAGTAGATGTGCTTCTTTCTGCACAGTGATACAGTTGGCGCATGTAGTTCTGTAGAAAGGAAGTAGTTCTGTCTGTGGATTATCTTGAGTAACCAGGTCTTGATTTCTGGAAAGAGACATCACTGATGAGCTTTTCAAACCACAAGCCGAGTGCCATCTAGTTCCATTATATTGGAGAAAAGGCAGATAGCTCCACGGCCGATATCTCCAACACTCAGCAACTCACACCAGAACAATGTAATTCTATAAATAGCTCTGCAGATAAGAGGGAAAATCTGTATTTTTATTTTGGGGTGAGCTGTCCCTTTAAACTATCTATTTACCATATTTGATACTGGCTTGTATTTTGACTGTTGAAAGCAGCATTTATCAGACGTCTGAATCTGCTGTTGAAGTTATCGATGTACTTTATGTGTGTAAGGAAGACGCAAGCTTAAAGTCCTTGTTTTCCCTTTTTAAATGCGATCATCTACATGATGGTGACAAGCGTCCATTTTAAAATCTGTCTCTCCTGTTGCCTTAGTGTGTATTTGTCTTGTGTTACCTGTACCAGTAAAAGCACATGATATCCTTGAAGTGCAATATAGAGGAAACCGCTGTTGTCAAAGGGGAATGTAGACGTTTGTGAAGCTTTATGTGCATCCTTTATTAAAGGTGTATCATGTTTTAAAAACACACCACGGTTTCTTTGTCTCTTCTTATTTTGATTGGATGGTATATTTTCACAACAAGTCAACAGAAACGCTGCCATGCACTATAAAGGGTTGTACTGGTTGAATCCACAGACTCCTATAGACACGTAAAGGGAAATTTACTGTGCAACTTGACCCAATAAGAAGTATTTCTTTACTTTAGTGCTGCAACTAATGATTATTGTCTTAATTACTCCATTAATTGTTTGGCCTATAATCTGCCTGCCCACACTCCCAAAAGCAAAGTTAAAATGTCTTGTTTTGTCCTACCAACAGTCCAAAACTGAAAGATACTCAATTTGCAGTGATAGAAAACAGAGAAAGGCATCAAACCCTAAGCATAAGCATTTGTTTACTTCCAGCATACATAAGAATATTCATATACAGTACATTGATTATTGTCCCATTTGTCTCCCACCTTCTTAAGCCCTGTTTCCACCAAACACTTGGTACTGTACCTTTGGAACCTAAAGTAACCCTACAGACATGGACCCTGGCGTTTCCACCGCAAACAGTACTCTTAAATGTGGACGGGGTTGTTGTCACTCACTGCTCCGTCCAGCACTCACTGTATTTCCTCCTTTATCAGTCTGCACCTCCTTTATTGTCCACAGAACAGGCTGCACACTGACATTTTCAGAACAAAATGAAACGGGCTGCAGTGAGAGTCTCTCTCTCCATGGGATATTTAAAAATAGCGGGTTTGTGCATTCATTCCTTCTAAGACAAGCTCAGGGGTTTAGTGTTTAGAGAGAGGGTGGTATGACATGCAAAAAAAAAAGACCCTGCCCAGAGCAGAGCTGGGGATTTGTGGTAATATGGTACCCGCCTCAACCACCAGGACACCCCAGGCTCTGCAGTGTTACTAGTTTATCTCTGCTAAATAAAATATGTCCTTTTCTCTTAACCAGTGTTGCATTATTAAAGCAACAGAAAAACACCTGCTGTTGCTGTTTTAGAAACCATGTAAAAGAACCAACCCATTACAAAACACACTAGATGTTTTCAAATTATAGGTGAGTTTTGGGGAATGTAACAAAAACTCTCAAAGATAATTGGAGTTAGATGTATCTTGTTTAGGTGGAATTTAATTCTGTTGTGGAAAAGGTGATGCTCAAGCCACTGAGCATCATGGGCATTACTTCTCACCCCTTTCATGCCTCGCTGGATGAAAACAGGAGCACCTTCAGCAACAGTCTAATACCGTCAATTTGTGCTGCTTAACGCTACCGGAGTATCTTCCCCCCTGTGGTCATTAGTCTGTACAGCTCCTCTGTCTTTTGTTTTCTTTTTTACCTCACGGCAGTGATAGCCCTGGCCAGAGGCATTATGTTTTCAGGTTGTCCGTTTGTAGAATTTGTTAAGGGGATTTCGTCAAATTCGGCACAAACGTCCACTTGGACTCGACGTTGAACTAATTGGATTTTGATGGTCGCTGTTACCTTGCTTCCGTCTCATCTTGTGAAGGCAATATGTCAAGAACGCCTCGAGGGAATTTCCTCATATTTGGCACAAACGTCCACATAGAGTCAAGGGTGAATTGATTACGATTCAGGGGTCAAAAGTCACTGTGACTTCACAAAACAAGTTTTTTTGGCCATAACTCAAGGATTCATTGGCTGATTCTGACAAAAATTTTACACAAATGTCTAATAGGAAGTGATAAGTGATGACATTTTACATGCAAAGGTCAACTTCACTGTGACATCATAATGTTCTGCAGTAATGCTTTTCTTTCCTCTACGCAAAGCCATAACTCCGGAACAGAAGGGGAAACGTTTGATCAGATACTGAATTTGTGACACTAATCTAAAAACTGTGCTGATTGTATTGATCCTCTGTGCTTATGTAGGAAGACGTGTGAAGCATATATGTTTTCACAGACATGAATGTACAGTAATCTGTATGTGTGTATGTGGCATAAAACCGCGAGGCAGTAATTCTAGTTTTTATTTTATTTTATTTTATTTCCCTGTAGTTTGTAACATTTGAAACATAGCAACACAGATACACCTTTACAGTGTCAATACATTGCTTGTAAACTGAAACATTGTTACCTGTACTCTGCATTTTTATTACTCAATACAGTCTTTTCGAACATTTGCTTTGTTTACTGGACTTTATACTTCATTCTGCTTCCTTTAGACCTGTTGTCCTCGTTTGTGGACACTTTTTTGTGCCATCTTGTGGAGACAAAACCACAATACACTTATCCATGTGAAAACAAAATTGCAGCCATGTCTGCCAAGTCAGTCTGCAGTGGGCCCCAACACGAAGGCAGACAAGGTACAAAACCTGATTAAATTTAATGATTGAAACTTGTTTATTTATGATTAAAAACATTTGTAGTTTGATATGCCATACAAACTTTACCAATTTTAGCAACAGTAACAAGCTAGGACATTGTTAATCAGAAAGTACTAGTTTTAAGACATTGGGACTTTATTATTGTTGACAATGTTTAGTTTTTTATACTTATCAGATCCTACTCATCTCAAACAGCGAGGAGAAATAAAAAAAAATGCAAACTAAACAACAGTTTGGGTTTCAGGAGGATATTTAATAGTTATGCACATGTACTTTATTTTAATCTACACCGATCAGCCCAAACATTATAATCACTGGCAGGTGAAGTGAATAACATTGATCGTCAAGCTCTGCTGGGAAACTTTCGGCTCCTGGCATTCAGGTGGACACCGGCAACAGTGCACCTTGATGATGGCAGGTGTTTGGATGAATGAAGTGCTTCATGTGGCATACACATGGATGCCAGGACTTTCCCAGCAGAGCATGACATTGAAACGAGATGGTCAGTATTGTTCATACCTGTCAGTGGTTTAATATTTTTGGCTGATTGGTGTATATGCACAATATATTTGCACCGTGTTGAGTATATGTCACTGTACCCTTCAAGCATCTTGGGTCAAAAGCAATCTCATCTTATCCTCCTCACCCTCCCTGGCTCACTGCCTCCAGCTGATGCAAAAGTCCAGAACATCAACACACCAGAGTCGTGCCGCTGACCGTGCGTGATGACGACACCAGAAGGCCCCGGCGTGGTGTGTAACGTAACATTCCATTGAGAAGAAGAGGGAAAGATGGCGTCCTCTAACAATCCTCGCAAATTTAGCGAAAAAATCGCTTTGCATAATCAGAAACAGGCGGAGGAAACCGCTGCGTTTGAAGAAGTGATGAAAGACCTGAACATCACCAGAGCCGCGCGGGTAAGACCTGCACACCCCGGCTGTTTACAGTTTGTTGCATCGCTGTTTGGCAGCTGTCGAGCGCTGCGGAGATAAATTTGAGCGCTGGGATGCTAAGTAGCTAAAGTTAATACAAACGTCCTCGGCTGCATCACTTCAACACCACCAAATTAGGCTTTCACCCTGCGTGTTTGAAACCATGTCGGCGTCATTTAGATAAAACAGGACAGTCGCGTGCAGCGTTAACTAGCTTAGCTTAGCTAGCTGTAGCTGTGAATAATGTGCACCTGTGCTGTGTGGCTGCTTTGGACAGTCACTGCTGTCATTTCGTTAGCAAACAAATTGTCTGACATGTAAATAACTGCAGAACATGATGCTAGGGAAGTCAGCTACTGGAAGATAAATTAAAGCAGTGTCTCTAAGAGGGCTAAGTTAGCATTTGCTAGCCAATCAGATGTTAACCAGCCTTCTGTGTTAGAGCCAGCTGTGATTTACCCCCTGATATTATTAGCTCCACATTAACGTTACCCCAGTACTTTAGCTCTGAACTATATGAGCTAGCTATTGTTATTATTACAATAAGCAAATATCAGACTCGTGGAAAATAAATGCAGCTGTCGTAGTTTAATTTATAACTGTAATGTTAAGTCAAGATAACTGTGACAACTTTCTCCCATTAACAGTAAATATATCCCTTAACCACAAGGGTTGCAACTAATGATTCATTTTTATTAAATCATCAATTTATTAAGCAATAATGCCAAATGTTTTGGTTGCTGCTTCTCAAATGTGCTGCTTTTTCTGTTTTATGTAATAATAAAATGAATTCCTTTGTGTTTGTTGGACAACACAAGTAAATTAAACTAATTTAAAGACATCACTGTGGGCTCTGTGATGATTGTCACAATTTTCTGACATTTTATAGACTCAGGAAAATAAGCAGATTGATTGAGGATGAAAACAATATAATTGCCTCCTCAGTTTACTCTATAAAGTATCAGAAAATAGTCAAAAATGTCCATGACAGTCAACGAAACTTGACCTAATTGAATATCTTCCAACAATGAGGCATTCAGTTATAAAATCATATGAAACTGAACAAAGCAGCAAATGTTTTAGAAGCTGGAACATCAGTGTGTTTGGATTTGGATTTTTTTTGACTTACAAAATGATGGAGACGACTAATCCATAAAACGGAATTGTTGCCCATTATTTTTTTTTGGCAATCAAATAACCAACAAATTGCTTCAACCCCAAGAGAGGGAATGTCTCGTTGCCAGGAAACATTTGGGCTAATTTTTGGCCTGATTGCTGGAAATGATGCCCATTTACCACATGCTGCATCAGTGTAAACCTGAGCTGTACTGTCATTTACCGCAGGGAAAAAAATCCGAAATTAACTAGTCAGTTTTGTGGTCTCTACCAGATTTCTTTGTGTTTCCATTCCAACACCAATCCATTGCATTTGTTCAGATCATTATCAACTTCATTACTGGTAAAAGAGGACGTCCATCACAGTGTTTTTGTAATTACATACATGACTTTTGTGACTGGTTTTGTGTTAAGACACGTGGCTAATGTAATCACCAGGTGTGTTACATGGAAAGACTGTGATCACACCAGCTGTCAGTCAGGTGTCATTCACATCAGCTGATGTGATCTTTTTTCTTCGCTATGAAAGATGTTGTCTGCCTCTTGATTGTTCACGAAACAGCCAATCTGCCTGTCTCATCATGTTTCATCTGTCAATTAATGGACTCATTAATATTTCATCTCACCACTGTGGACTGGCAGGCATCATTCATTTTTAGCATCACTTTATTTGTGAATCAGATCAATCATTCACTCATGCTTTCATGCAATTTTACTTTGCACAGTTGCAGTTACAGAAGACCCAGTATTTGCAACTAGGGCAGAATCGTGGACAGTACTATGGAGGCTCACTGCCCAATGTCAATCAGATTGGAAATGGCAACATTGACCTGCCTTTTCAGGTGAGCCCTTAGCCTCTCTCGGCTGGTAAATGGTTTGTTCTCGATCAGTGTACCTTTCTTAGCTGTTGGCGATAATATTGGACATACAAAGGTTGCAGTTATCTGTAGTATTGGTGAAAGATTGGCTCAAAACAGAGAAGTCTGCAGGCTCAGCCTAGGCTATGATGGCAGTAAAGCTGCTGGTCAGAGCTGCTTAGTCCGACCAGGTTTTTATCACGGTTCAGGGGCGAAAGGAAGCCAGAAACCAGTTCTACCCTGCAGTGTAATTTGGTTTCTAAATTTTAAAGTATACCATTGCTTGTCATGGCTTTCCATCTTTAAATACATTTGCCAACTCAAGCATCAGTATGGGGGGCCCATGGCTTGACTCATTTTGAAATGAACACATTTGCACCATTAATCCTAAGACATGATCCTAAGAGGTAGTGTTGTTGTGTGATAGGCTGTCTTGCTGGCCTCATTCACTCATTGTGTTCACTCTAGAACTCTGTGCTGGATACCAGCCGGACAACCAGGCACCATGGGCTGGTGGAGCGTGTTTACCGTGACCGGAACCGCATCACATCTCCTCACCGCCGGCCGCTGTCAGTTGACAAACATGGACGCCAGATATCCTTTTTGTTGATTTGTTTTGGAAGCATGTGGTGTTGAGGATGTTTTGACTGTGTTCATTATTGCTTTGAGGCTTCAGCGGCTGCTTGAACATCGTTCTGAAGACTTGCATCTTCAGGCTGTTGTAATTTAAGTTGACGTGTAGAGACACAACATTTTGAGTAAGTTTGAACAGTGTCAATGCAGTTTTCATCTGATTTACAGCTCCTTCTCTAGCTTTGCTTTAATTTACTGGGAACCCAAAGTGGTCACTGCCAGATATACAATGACATTTCTTTAGAACGACAGTTGTCATATGAACTTGAAGTCATATTTGGGGATCTTACTTATATGGGAGGCTCCTTCATCTCTAGTTTTTCATCTATGTTTGCCATACAGTGATATACAGGCTGGGCTTATAAGACTAGCATGCTTACGCTAGCAGTCAGTAACAAAAACACACTTTTACCTATCAAAACATAGTCTGTAATTATAATGTATTACACTAAATACATCCTTAAACTGAAACAAGTCATGTCCCAAATAGGTTTTAATGAATGAATAAAAAAAACAAGCAATCAAGACCTGACCTGGGTGATGCAGTGCAGATTTGCCTGATTAACATACAGTGGTTTCTCAGTGTTATATTTAGGGATAACACATAACAAAAGCCACCAGATGTGGTGATAGGAAAAGGAGAAATCATAAACCGTAGCTCTTCATTGTTCAACAGAATTTGAACAAAAGGTGAGGTGACTTGTTTGTTTCACCACATTGATTGAGAGCCTGATATTGAATTATACAATGCATTACAGCGAATTGTTACACTCCTGTGGACAAGATTATTCTTAGAAATACAGTACAGGCCAAAAGTTTGGACACACCTTCTCATTCAATGCGTTTTCTTTATTTTCATGACTTTTTACATTGTAGATTCTCACTGAAGGCATCAAAACTATGAATGAACACATGTGGAGTTATGTACTTAACAAAAACAGGTGAAATAACTGAAAACATGTTTTATATTCTAGTTTCTTCAAAATAGCCACCCTTTGCTCTGATTACTGCTTTGCACACTCTTGGCATTCTCTCTATGAGCTTCAAGAGGTAGTCACCTGAAATGGTTTCCACTTCACAGGTGTGCCTTATCAGGGTTAATTAGTGGAATTTCTTGCTTTATCAATGGGGTTGGGACCATCAGTTGTGTTGTGCAGAAGTCAGGTTAATACACAGCCGACAGCCCTATTGGACAACTGTTAAAATTCATATTATGGCAAGAACCAATCAGCTAACTAAAGAAAAACGAGTGGCCATCATTACTTTAAGAAATGAAGGTCAGTCAGTCCGGAAAATTGCAAAAACTTTAAATGTGTCCCCAAGTGGAGTCGCAAAAACCATCAAGCGCTACAACCAAACTGGCACACATGAGGACCGACCCAGGAAAGGAAGACCAAGAGTCACCTCTGCTTCTGAGGATAAGTTCAACCGAGTCACCAGCCTCAGAAATCGCAAGTTAACAGCAGCTCAGATCAGAGACCAGATGAATGCCACACAGAGTTCTAGCAGCAGACCCATCTCTAGAACAACTGTTAAGAGGAGACTGCGCGAATCAGGCCTTCATGGTCAAATAGCTGCTAGGAAACCACTGCTAAGGAGAGGCAACAAGCAGAAGAGATTTGTTTGGGCCAAGAAACACAAGGAATGGACATTAGACCAGTGGAAATCTGTGCTTTGGTCTGATGAGTCCAAATTTGAGATCTTTGGTTCCAACTGCCATGTCTTTGTGAGACGCAGAAAAGGTGAACGGATGGATTCCACATGCCTGGTTCCCACTGTGAAGCATGGAGGAGGAGGTGTGATGGTGTGGGGGTGTTTTGCTGGTGACACTGTTGGGGATTTATTCAAAATTGAAGGCACACTGAACCAGCATGTCTACCACAGCATCCTGCAGCGACATGCCATCCCATCCGGTTTGCGTTTAGTTGGACGATCATTTATTTTTCAACAGGACAATGACCCCAAACACACCTCCAGGCTGTGTAAGGGCTATTTGACCAAGAAGGAGAGTGATGGAGTGCTGCGGCAGATGACCTGGCCTCCACAGTCACCGGACCTGAACCCAATCGAGATGGTTTGGGGTGAGCTGGACCGCAGAGTGAAGGCAAAGGGGCCAACAAGTGCTAAACACCTCTGGGAACTCCTTCAAGACTGTTGGAAAACCATTTCAGGTGACTACCTCTTGAAGCTCATGGAGAGAATGCCAAGAGTGTGCAAAGCAGTAATCAGAGCAAAGGGTGGCTATTTTGAAGAAACTAGAATATAAAACATGTTTTCAGTTATTTCACCTTTTTTTGTTAAGTACATAACTCCACATGTGTTCATTCATAGTTTTGATGCCTTCAGTGAGAATCTACAATGTAAATAGTCATGAACATAAAGAAAACACATTGAATGAGAAGGTGTGTCCAAACTTTTGGCCCGTACTGTATATTAGACAACAAGACAGTAACTGAAGCCTTTTCCAAAGTAATGGGATCCCAATAACACTTATGTGTGTGTGGGCATTCATTATGTATCAGGTCTATTAGGTGGAATGAGCCAACGGACATGAAACTATGGATTAGCTGAGATCCACTTTTCATTCCCTCTACTTTATTTGCCTTAACTAAATTCACATTGACAGCTGTCCTTACAGCTCAGTTTACCTCTCCCCACCGCCAGACACGAGCTGGAGAAGGTAAGCCACCTCCCCCTTGTCCATTTGCCAAAATGACAGCTAAGACACATAACAGCTCAGTTACAAAAATTCATTTACATGCCTCTGCTGCTGTGTTGGTGCAACATTTACAGACTCAGCCAACACAAAGAAGGCCACATCTTTGGCCACATGATGGCATATAAAGATCTGTAACAGAATGTGGTTCTTGATGAATATGTTGCTGTGGAATGTGTCTCTCTGCCAGTATTGGGGATTTGGCAGTGATTTTGCTGACCTCTCATCTTTCTAACACATCCAGGACAAATTCGGACTCTGCCTTACACCAGAGCGCCATGAATCCGAAGCCCCAGGAGGTGTTTGCAGGGGGATCACAGGAACTGCAGCCTAAACGAGGTAATGGAAGATCCAGTTACAAAGACATGGAGCCGCTTTTATTTATTAATGTGCAATGTACTCTACAGTGTTTCCTCTGTAATTTTTTTTTGTGCAGCTGCGGTGATTTTGAGTGACCATTCTACATTTGCCTTTTGTCCTTCTATGTTATGACTCAAGTTCTTCAAGGTTCTAGTGCTTAAATGATTTTAGTCGTAATATAACAGTTACTTTAAAACACAATGGACTTGGGGTTTTTTTTTGTTTTGCTTTTAGACAATAAGTCTTCATTTTGATTTCACATTTCCCTTTCAGTGGTGGCAAATTCCTTGCTGTGGTGGCGCACCACTGCTAAATGAATACCAAGGAAACACAGATGCAGTAATGTCAGGCAGCAAACCTTAAATGACACAAAAGGGTTGATGTGACAAAGAAGTAGATCTAGACTCTTAATGAAATATATATGGAGTATATATGGAGTAAATGGATACTGATCCTGGGCAAAGAACTGCCTCAGTATGCTGGGACAGTTCTCCGTAGAGAAGTAACACCTCCGAATGCAGCTGAGTCAGGATTATCTAGAGAGGAGGATCAATAATTCACTGATTATCCATGGATTATGTCTTTTATGTGTGAGGCTCTCGTATAATGAAGCCAAGATTGGCTGGCATCCACTCAGTCTGTCTGGTGGTCACCTTGCTATTTTTAGACACTCGGGAATCTAGTGCACAGCACTATATTTCCTGCTTGACTGGCTCGGATATTGATGACTCATTCCTTGCACTGATTTGTATTGTTATTCGTTTTGTCATAGCAAAGCAACTATGTCTTGCTGTTTCACTAATTAGTACTGCTGCTAACAGTGCCTGGGACGGAGAACTCGGAGTCAAATGCAGACAAGGATGCGCAGAAACAGTTATGGGATGACAAGAAGGTACTGATGGGAGAGGGGATGACTAACAAGGTGCACACTTCTCATGTATGATACATGTAAACCACATCAGATTTACAGCGCGTTGTTGTGTATTTTCCTCAGGATGATTCATCAAAGCCCAACACATGTGATGTCCCGGGAATCAAGTGAGTGGTTTATTGTTTTATTATTCTCTACAGTGAGGCACCACAGGGGCAGAGCTGCCTGTCAGTCACACAGCCATAAATAAGTCATGCTGTAAGTGCACTGATACAAGACAGCTAGGTATGCTGGAAACATGCTGGGAATTTAAGGGATACTTTACAGATTTTAAACCAGCTTTGCATCATAACACTGTTGGCTATATGTGTAAATTAGCTGTTGTAAACTTCCTCCCATCTTACCAGCGGCCAGCTCTCCCTGCTTATGTCTCAGCTCAAATGCCTCATCCAGCAGATTTTTTGCTGCCTTTAGGGCTGTTGCTTGAACTACACATTGTACTTTCGTATGTTCATTTCATTTGAGTATAGAAGCAGATCAAGAGAGATACCCGCCCCCTCTCTGTCTCTGTCTCTCAAACTCAGACCAAACTTCCGTCACGCTGTAAAACTAGACAATGCTGATCAAATATCAACCTCGATTATGCCACTGTATTGCCTGTTTCTCGCCTCAGATGTCTTCAGAAACTCATGCCTCTTTTCCACCAAAATTAATGCTTGTAACGGGTTTCTTAAACACAGATAGGCAATAGGCTCCTTTCCTTTGCCAGTAGTCCAGAGCTGTGTACACTGCTCTGCAGCTGACAAGTATGCCTTTGTTTGAAGGTTGTTTTTTTTTTTTGTATATGTTTTGTTGTCATGTTTAACGTCATAGACGGGTCCTTACAACAGGTTGGTAGAAAGCAGCATGAAGGCCAGTGAAAATGTTATGGTGCTTATGTCTTTCTTAAAACTTATTCAGTCTCTCTCTGAGTCACAAGTAATTTTGAATGTCTCCCTTGGAGACAGATGTTTTTTTTCTGGCAGCCCATCATTGCATCTTGCCAGCAAAGAAGCTAAAATCAGCACATCCACACAGGTTTCATATTTCCATCACTGCTGATTGAAGCCAGAGCTGATAAGTCCTTTTGTCACCAGCCGGCTGCCATATTGTTTTTTGTTTCACAACGCATAAGCTCGCATTATGTCACCCACCAATAGGAGAGTTTATTGGTCCGGTGCAGTGCAGTGCATTCTGGTAGTTGTAGATTTTTAACCTATAGAGCAAAGGCAAATGTCACAGCCCTTTTTCTCTGGCCATGTAGCACTAATTTCTAAAGTATTTGTGTCTTTCTACTGTATAGACAGCCTAGTTTACTGAATATGTTGCCTCGAGTTCTATAGAAAGGGTCGTCATGTTGTAATACCACAATTAAGAAAACATCCCAGTGAAAAATCCAAAGGGTGCTGATCGGGTAGAGACGTGTTGGGGAGTAGTAGTCAGAAATAGGGTGATAAGAGAGAAGGTTTTCTTCTGTCTGATAGAACCTGTGTTTTTTTTAGTATATTCCCATCACCAGACCAGGAGTTGAACCCGTCCGTGCTCCCAGCTGCACACAACACCGGTGGTTCGCTGCCTGATCTGACCAACATCCAGTTCCCTCCTCCATTGTCCACTCCACTGGACCCCGAGGACACCGTGGCCTTCCCCTCCCTCAGCGCATCCAACAGCACGGGCAGCCTGACCACCAACCTCACCCACCTGGGCATCAGTGCTGCCAGCCATGGTAATGACGACAGTTTGAGAACATTGTATAATGTCCAATTAACTTGCAGTTAAAATAGGTTTTATTATGATTAACATAATGCATGTTCCTTCAAAACAGCCACCAAGTATAAGATATTAAAGCTAGAAGTGGTTTATGTGACATTGGTACCAGGCTACCTTCCTGATATTTCATTGGGGTGTACGGTATGTGATGGTATTTATGTAAAAAATGTATGCATGTATGACATTGTCTAGCCCACAGTGCTGTGTGTATGTTGAATATGCAGTTAACCTACTTAGTCTCACTGGGTTTAAATACATATGGCCAGTAGAATAATGAATTAATCTGAAATAAGCAACCATCTTCCGAAGATTTTTGATGGAGGACTTAGTGACACGAACTGACATAAACTGATACAGGTATACCACTACATCAGTGGGATGAGCAGAGATGATGTGGGAATACATGCAGCTTGTCTGGGTTGGCTGGCTCACCTTTATTATCTAGACTCTCCAAAACAGGCGCAGAGGCATTTTCTTTTTTTACTAGTCCTGTAACGTTATCCCCACCACTCGCAGTCGCCGTCTTTCTCAGCTGCCTGATCCACCAGTAGAGTATGACCTTTGGTGCCAAATGCCAAAGTCTCATGCCGGTGGCTTCAAAAAAATATGTGACAATAATACCTAATGTGTACTCTGTTTTTTCTGCCAGGGATCCCCACCTCCTCTCAGCCCACCATGACTGTCACAGCACAGCGCCGGCAGCCCCCCGTTGTGCCGCTCACCCTCACCTCGGACCTCCATCTTCAACAGTCCCCACAGCAGCTTTCACCCACCCTCTCCTCACCTGTTAACATCACACAGGTAAGGCTCAGTTGTCTGAAGGTTGTGGTCTTAAGGTTTGCACTGTTTGTGTTTGCTGCACTCCACTGTAACATGAACAAACTACATGCTAAAGCAGCCTGACACCAGGAAAGTGAGGAGCTGAAATTACACTCACAACAACCAGTTAATTCAGCACATATCACATTTTGCACGTCTTTCCTCAGGCCTTGCCAACAGAGTCACTGACCCTGGAGCAGCAGCTCTCCCAGTACCCCCTGTTCAACCAGCTGACGGCCCAGGCCCAGGCTCAGCTGCTCAGCGACCTCCAGAAGCAGCAGCAGGCTCTGCCACAGGGCATCCAGCTCATCACCTTGCCAACACTGGCTTCCCCTGGTACCACCGCCACTGCCAGCAGCCCCTCCCCAGACAGCCAGAGCCAGACCACCGCCAGCATCAGCATTGGCTCGGTAAGAAACCAGAAAGTCCAGTCACAAAGTGGAAGCAGAGATAACGGTTAATTTGATGACATGACTGGGATCATTCTGCTTATTCTTAAGCTTCTATTCATTTTGCCACCCTATTGTTCTGGAAATTCTTCACCTACACAGAGTACATCCCAGTTGGTTAGTGATCTTCACATCCTTTTTATGCTACTGGGCTTTTTACAAAATAACTCACCTTCTTAGGAGAAACATCTTTACTCTGACTACCACATGCTATATTCATGTTTTTGCTAAGGAAAGCGTTTTCTCAGCTTTTCTGTGAGTTAGGCTTTTCTGGATGTTGTTAATTGAATTTGCAAGAAATCGGCTGATAAAATACAAAAATACACTTTACCATTAAACTAGAGTAGGACCAGCAGATCTTACTATTCCACAGTCACATTTTCCAGAAGTGAAGACAAACTGGCCAGCCACAGAGTTGTCTCACGGTTTATCTGGTGGCGATTGGTAACATGTCCCACCTGTACACACACTGTACATGATGAGCTGATGCCCTCTCACATCCCGTCCTTTGAGATTTGTGTGTGACAGGCGTTGACGCTTAGTGCTAGCTAACCCTCTTCCCTCCAACAGTACCGCAATCAGACTGGCTCACCAGCCACTCAGTCTCCAACCTCCCCAGTCTCCAATCAAGGCTTCTCCCCCGGCGGCTCGCCTCAAGTAAGGGCCCACCCACCGAGCTAGCTGCTGTTTTGGGAAGGGCTTTGCGCCTGGGGGAAAGCTAATTGTAGATGAGTTTAGGCTGCTTTTCATCCTCTGTATCAGCAGTTAACCACTCATGGTGTCAACAGCTGCATAACTCATTCCTTCATCACCACTGTCACTGTTCACTGTGTGCATGACAACATGGCGAGAGTTGATAGATGGAAGCCCTGACCTGTTGTTATCAAGTCTTTTTAGTATCCACCACACATGATTCAGATACTTCTCTCACATGGATGAGCAGTAGTGTCATGATATGGGGTCTGAGATTGTTTGCCTGTTTTGTTTCTTCTTACGAATAGACAAATAGACCAATAATAAAGTCTGTGCTACGCTGAGAGAGAAAATAATATTTCTAAATGGCCTTCAACAGCACTCAAAACTATGAAGTGTACTAGCTGTATACTGTTTACATTTTCAACTGTGCTGCAGCACATTTTCTTGACAGATTGGTAATACGCTCCTGCCCATTAACTGCCATATTACTTTGTTACTGTGAGACTTCATTATCATCAGTCAGACTTAATGGTGACATTAGCCATTTGTCTTTTGTGAGTCTAAAACTCCCTGGCTGCTAGTTGGAGCACAGAGCCAAACTCAGTTACATCTGCAGCTCAATACACACAAACAAAACACATCACTCTCTCCACTGGGGGAAAGTCCTCAGAGCTTTATCCCGACTTCTGTAAAACATGTGGCAGAACGGCAAAGACAGCGTGCATGTGTTTTATTAATACATTTTATGTGTTTAGTGGGGTTTTTTTAAGGTGCAAGGCTGCTTCATGGCAAAAGGCCACATCAAGAAAAGCAATTACTTTGTCAAAAGCAGAAAAGTGGAAAGTTACCAGCGGCAGTGTTGAAATAAAAATTGACATCAGAATATATTTTAGGTTATTAAAGAGGATATTTAGTTACATGTGCTCTACTGAGTTTTCTTATAAACTAACAAAAGTTGTCTTTGCTACTCAGAAAAACATGTTGTGTATTTCTGTGCGCTCTGACAAACATGTTGGATACATTTCCCTCCTCATAAAAGATTTACAACGTAGATTTCTAAGTATTTTAATCCCAACATTACTGACCTCCATGTGTAGCCAGCAGTGTTCTCCCTCACTGTCTTCTGTTGGTGCCTTGCTGCATATCTTGGCATGTTACTGCCAACTGCAGATAAATAAAATATTGTGAAACCTTTGGCAGCTAAGTGCATCGCATCAGATCCCTGCATGTTCACCCTGATGCAGGAGGTAAATAAAACAAGGACCAAACTAATAGAGAAACAGGTCTGTAGAGGTCAACGGCTCAGCACAGGGAACCTTTAAAGTGAGAACCAGCTCGCTCCAAGTTTATGGTATGTAAGAAGGAAAACAAAGAAGGGAGAAAGTACATTTTTAAAGGTACAGGTCGAATATAAACCCATCTAAATTCTGGGCTTTCGTGCACTGATCAAGTCACCTCTGGTGAATCAGTCACTAAAAGGTTAATATTATAAATGGTTAGACTGGGACTCCACTACAAAAAAAGCCAATCACACAGTGTTGGTGCTTTTTTCATTGCAATCTTTTTAAGGGAAATTCCAATATGTGTCAGCCTTTACAGTGTTCTCATAGTTTTTGTCAATCGTAACGACCTGGAAAGTGACATTTTACTCTCCACTCCTGCTGTTGAGACACAGGAAACACTGACTCACCGACTGTTTGAGCTTCTTTGATTTTCCAAAAAAAGTCATCATGAGAGAAATAATCTCAAACACCTTGTATTTGAACTCAAAGTTAACACAGGAGGCAGGTTCATAAATCGTGAAATGCAGAGCAGAGCGGATCCAAACCAGCAGGGATGTGGGTTGGGCTGCAGGTTGACCCACCTACTGTGGATACTCTGTGCAGTTTGGTACAGCAGTTACTCAGAAACATGTATTTGAGAGGATTTCTGTAAGACTGAAGTCCATATTTATCAAATCTCCACTGTAGGAATACCACGGGGAAGAAATTTTCCAATTGATGAATAAACTCAATGACAACAGCAGATTACACTAGACATTTTAGAAGAAAAGATGCATGTCGATGACGCTGAATATCTGTAGGGTGCCTTCTTTGATCTGTAACGTTAGATTTTTTGAGCTTCCTGTTACTATGAACAAAACAGAACAGTGACAGGTGTAGCTGCGGCAGCGCCTGCTTTTCTTTTGGGGCTGCAGACACTTTGCGTTTATAATTGTAGCGCCTGTCATCCTGCTAAGTATTAAAAACAGGCTTAGTATTTAACAAATTCAAGTTTTTTTTATTTGATAAATGTGTGCACTTAGAAGCAAAAATGACATAAATGAGTTTTATTTCTATTTAAAAAAGGCAAATCGATGGCGTGGGCAGTGGACAAGTAATCAGTGTCTACTTGGTGTATGCTCCAACACCATGTACCTCAGACTACCGCAGTAAGCCTTCTCCACAGCAGAGGTGGTGTGTTAAGTGTTACTGTGACCGATAAAGGACAAAAATATCAGAATAACACTCGGGTGGACAAATACCAGAATTTCCCTTTAACAAGTTAATTTGTGTTTGTGTCACAGTGAACAGAGCTGCCGCGGTCAACACATCACTGTTGTGTGCCTCGTCCACAGGAACGGGACACACAACCACATGTTCATATTTCCATTTCATGATTTTGGCTTTTGTTTTTCTCATTTTAAAACTATTAGGTGTGTGTTTAATTCGAATAATATACAAGCCATCACTTTTTAATTTTTCTAGTGTTTCATTAGGCTCCTCTTTTTGTCTCTGAACCGCGACAGCCCTGGTCATGAAAACCATTTGCTTTGGTCGCTGCTCAGTACGACAGTTGTGTGACTTTGTGTTTTGCTTGTGTTTTCTGTTACCCCATCGCTGAAATGTCTGTGGGCCCAGATAACTCGCCTCTCTGGCTAATTCTGTCTGTGTTTTAGTTACAGCTGCTTCCTCGACATTTGTTCTGAATTTTGTGGCTTACCTCTCTTCCTCCAGCACATTCCCGTGGTGGGCAGTATATTTGGCGACTCCTTCTATGATCAGCAGTTGGCTTTGAGGCAGACCAATGCGCTCTCTCATCAGGTGACACGGAGCGCACAAACAACAAGCAGAAATGACAGAAGCGTTTCCTTCAGATCGTCTCTGACTATTTTAATTCTGTGCTTTTTAGCTGGAGCAGTTCAACATGATCGAGAACCCCATCAGCTCCACCAGCCTTTACAACCAGTGCTCCACCCTCAACTACACACAGGCGGCCATGATGGGCCTCACCGGGAGCAGCCTACAGGACTCGCAGCAGCTTGGCTACAGTAGCCACGGCAACATCCCCAACATCATCCTAACAGGTAGCATCACCACGAGTCCATCAGATAAACCACGATCACACGGGCTCATTCACACACAGCTGTCTGTAGTTTCCACTGATTTGTTTGAAGCAGTTAAGATGCTTTTACCAGATTACATGTCTTTGCTTTTGCTGGATCAAACACTTTGTTGGGGTTTATACATCTGAGTAATTTCATCCCAGGATGAAATTAGCCTAGACCCTCTTATTCAAGCACAAGCTGCCTGTCATTTTCTGTTGTTGGTTTTATGTTCAAAGACTTGAAGGAATAGTTAGTATTTTTTGATGTGGGGTTGTTTGTAGATGGCAGTCGGCACACCTCCAGTTTGGAGAAGCAGCCGACACGGGAGTACCGACATGGAAGCTAAGCAATGTACTGCTGTGGACCGGGGCTGCATCAAAACACATTTTAGCTACCTAAAAAAATCATCTTCAGGTTAAGCGTTTGTTATATTTATAATATTTTTGTAGTAGTAGTCAGTGTGGGTTTTCTCTGGGTACTCCAGCTTCCTCCCACAGTCCAAAGACATGCAGGTTAATTGGTGACTCTAAATTGGCCGTAGGTGTGAATGTGAGTGTGAATGGTTGTCTGTCTCTATGTGTCAGCCCTGCGATAGGCTGGTGACCTGTCCAGGGTGTACCCCACCAGCTGGGATAAGCTCCAGCCCCCGTGACCCTCAAGAGGATAAGTGGTCACAAAAATGGATGGATAGTTAGTTTGTGTTATTGTGTGTGTGGATCCGAACTTTCCCTAAAACATCAAATTTACTCAATAACACAAACTACTACTACTGACTAAAATATTCTAAATATAGTATTGAACTGATTTAGATTTTTTTAGGAGGCTAAAATATGTTTTGCTGCCCCCCCCTTCACAGCAGTACATTGCTTAGCTTCTGTGTCTGTAGTTTATGAAACAGTCTTAGAGGTTGAAAACATATATCTGGGTTGGTCAGATTAATTTGGAAGAAAAAAGGAGGCAAACAGTAAAAATGCAGCTCAAACTTTTCATTTTAAACATTAATCACAGCTTACAGATAGGGGGTGTAAATCACCAGTTTGATCAGAATACGATATTATATCGACAACGATATGATATTTGCCTATAATACACCGTCTACCTGGATACCATCTCGATTTGATGTGATTCAGGCGCCTGTGATCGATATTATGTGCCCGTCTAACACTTCCTGTTACAGAAGAAGCTGCCAACCCTTTCTTTTTGCTTTTGGCCATAAAAGATATAAACAACACATAGATAATAAGTGTAGTAAAGTTTACTTAAGATGACTCCACCAACGCACACAAAAAAGAGTACACGGAGTAAGTTAACCCTCAGGGCTTTCTGTCAGAGAGACCCTTCTGGAAGAAATCTTTTTTAATTTAACCCAAATCATCATCTTTGTCCAAAAACTTCCTTAAAAACAGAAATGAGAATGTGTAATACACGTAAGAGATTAAAAAAATTATTTAACCACAAGATAATTAACAAATATTAAACTGAAGTATAAACACTAAAGTGTACATGATTTTAAAATAATGAAAATATTTATGTATAATATCTAAATGTATTTTCAAAATTACAAATATAACCAGTATATAATGCAAGGACGTAGTTTCAAGTTACAGTTGCAAGATAAAGAAATCCAAAGTACCTTCTTAAATGTAGTTTGAACCTGTGTAAAAATGTCCCCATATTTGCCAAACCCACCTTGTCTTTCTCAAACGTCAGCACCCACTTTTTTCTCTGATGTCACGTATCTCAGTCACAGGTGAGTCTCCGCCGAGCCTCTCCAAAGAGCTCACCAACTCTCTGGCGGGCGTTGGTGACGTCAGCTTCGACGCAGACTCTCAGTTCCCTCTGGACGAGCTGAAGATCGACCCGCTCACCCTGGACGGACTGCACATGCTCAACGACCCCGACATGGTGCTCGCCGACCCCGCCACCGAGGACACGTTCAGGATGGACAGGCTGTAATGGGAGAAGCTGGCTGAGAACAAGAAGAAAAAAAACACACTAACTCGTGGATGGAGAGAAACAAAGGGCCGGATGAACCCTCTCCCTCGTTGCATGGCCGTCCAGCTGTCCGACCTTGCCCTCGACTCCGTGAAGCCCTTTGAAACGATGTGCCACCAAAAGACAACAGGGAAAAAGACATCCAGTGGCTTGCCAGGGAATGGCCTCGCTGTCGTTTTGAATGAAATTCGTCGCTCAGCGCTTTCGCTAGCCTGCTGTGTTTACAGTGTACCATTACATGCCACATATATTCCAGAAACGCACATTTGACTATGTTTGGTTTTTTTTCTTTTCATATCCACTTTAATATTTGTTTTGTTGATATTTGCTCGTAGCAGGAAGCTGCTAGGACATTGGGCTAAACCGTACCCGTTCTCATGGCTGTATAAAAAACAAACAGAAAAACACCACAGCCGGTTTGCTTGTACCCTGCAATCAAATGAATCGGTTTTCCCATCATGCCGTAACGGCTTTCTATTTCACACTCAAAGCTTTATTTTTGAGAACCAAATGTTATTTTCATCATGTACTGTATGTTTTGATGCTTTGTGTATTTACATGTTCTATTTATTTATTTAGTTAAAGATTTTATATTCCATTTCATAATTTAAATTTGATGCCAAAATGCTCTCTGTAGGCATAGTGTACAATTGCACTGATGTAATTTGTGTCTATTTATTAATTACTAACATATTTATATATGTGTTTGTTAAGCTACTTGGTTAATGAAGGAGTGCAAAACCTCCCCATAGTTGCTCTTTGGTGTTCGATGTGCCATTCTCTGATGTAGGACGTGGTAGACGTTGCCATGCTGCAGCCCAACGGTCAAATCTAAATATCGTATTTTTTAGCACAGCTCCAGAAAATGCTGCGTGCTCCAGAAATGGGTTGGTTTTACGCCACTTGAATTAACTTTTTCTGAGAAAATCATCAGGTATTTCTATTTAACTAGAAAGCAAGAAAAACACGTCCAAATTAATTTTCTGCCAGTGAAAAGCCAATATATATATATATACATATATATATGATATATATCCAGACTGAACTTCTTTTCGGTGAAGGAAGCCGTCTGTTTTTAAACACTAAAATCTTAAATCTTTTTAAGTCGTCACTGTGAAATCACCTGATTTTGCCTTACATGAGTATTCTACTGTTCTACTTAAGTGTCTGATGTGACAACGTATTTTCGTAACTTATTGTAACATTTTCTTGTATTTGAGAGGAACTTAACTTTTGGTCAGTGATATTTGTGGTTATGTTGTGTAAGGTTTGACAAATCAATGTACTGTATTTTGTATCGGTACAGTTTATAGCCAAATTGTTGATGTTTTTTAAAGTGGGGCAAAAAAAAAAAAGAGTCAAAGGATGGGTTTGAAGTGTTTGAGAAGGAGTGCAATTATGGGGAGGCTTTTTGCTCCTTGGCAGGGAAGCTCTAACAAAAACGCTAATGGCCTCTGCCACAGAGGTCATCAATAACAAAAGTACCATGCAAAGAAGAGGGTTGAAAGATGTTAATGGTCAATTGTTGGATATTTAACAGTATGGAATGGTTGTTTTCATAAGATGCAAACTTGCAATTTCAGAGATTATGAATATGAGGATATTTTTTATTGCAGAACGTCTGTTTACTCCGAGGAGTAAACTGGATGAAGTACATAAAGGGTCTGTTTAAGAAAGAGTGTATTTATACATGTATTTAGTATCGTATGCAACTGTTCCAACAGCACTGAGGTCGGCCCCATTCCATTCAGTGTTACAAAACTACCGAAACAGTCACACAAACAATCAGGGATGTAGTAGACTCTAAAAAAAAATTGTTTACTGAAAAATGTTTACACAAGTTTCATCTGAAAAATGTACATATTGATATCATCTCTGACTACATCTACGACACAATCTCCTCTGCCAAAAAAATGTGTCAAACACATTGTGTCAAAAATTTCAATCTGCCTTTGGCCTTTTGTCAGAGTTTCCCTGAGAGGTCTGTGTAGGTCTGTGGGATCATGTTTGGTATATTGTAATGTTCATGTACAGACGTGCTAATCATTTACTCACCTAAAGCGCTGTTGGGAAGATTTTCCAACCTCCCCCCTCCCCGAAAAGGAATCACGTTTGGTTACTACACACCTCCACAGTTGTACAATTTGTTTCAGTTGAAGTGTTTATTGTCTGCTGTAATCCTCCATCAAAGGTTTTGTTTGCCTTTAACAGATCTGTGATTCCTATGCAAATAAGTCAAGAAAAAAAAACAACCCTTAAAGGAAAAATCCACCTCTGATTTTTTTTTTTTGTTGTTGTTGTTTCAACACGTTCAAGGAGTTGAGCTGGATTTCTGCTTCTAAAATGGTGTGGCTAAAAAAAAAGAAAATATACACAGCAGAGCTACAGAGATAAAGAAGTGCGAATGGTCGGTTTTGGGCGGTTGTTTTCAACGTGTTATTCATGTTGGTAGAGATGATTAATGAAGACAGCTTTAAGTAATTTAAAGAGAGGATCGTCTCCTTTTCAATAACACTAAAAAAAATTATATTGTGATCCGGCAAGGCCCTTTACAGTAGTGGAAAACAAAGTAGTAGTAGTAATTACTAAAAGATTGGAATTAATTGTTATTATCATAATATTTTTTATTTTATTTTATCTAATCCAATAATATCTGTCTTTCAGGGCTTTGCAGGTGCATTACTCTTTTGCAAAATAAATGACAAAGCTTTATATAAATAATCAGGGTTGAGGCAAATTACTTAAAGATCTAGTCAGAGATACTGAATACAACTTGCATGGCAATTTTTGTGATTAATGGCAATAAATTAGATTACAAAACAAAGGAATCTGTATACTTTTGGATTACTTTAATTTTAAATTATAATACAGAAAATTAAATAATAAAATAATAATTAAATTAAATAATAAATTTAATTAAATAATAACTAGAATAAACAATAAAAAATATTTCAATTTATTCTTTAAAAAAAAAAAAGAAGAAAGATGGTTGCAGCCACAAAATTCCAATTTCAGTTCCACAAATATTCTTTTCTTCTCTTTGAACATCTCAAAACATTTCCAATACAAATAAAATTTATTTTTCATATTTATTTAAATTATAATATAAAAATGAAATAATACAATAATAATTAAATTAAATTAAATAATAAATATAATAAACAATATAAATATTTCAACTTATACTTTAAAAAAATGATTGCAGCCACAAAATTGGATTTCCACAAATATTCTTTTTTTCTCTTTGAAGATGAAAAAACATTTTCAATGCAAATAAAATGTACTTTTCATATTTAGCATTTACAATTTCTCAAATCAAATCCCCTTATTGATCACCGCCACAAAGTAGAGCACTTGACTAAGAAACCCAGCATGTCAGACGCGTTCTTCAAAACTACATAGATCATTGGTCATCATGAAATGGTTTAACAATTTTAAAATTGTCATAATTTAAAGACAAAGTAAAGTTGTTATTGACAATGTAACAAATACTATCTGGACTGATTATTTTCTTCTGATGACGTTACTACCCAACCTTGTCAACAATGAACGCCCAGCTCAGTTATCGTCTCCTTTTGAGTCGGTGGACAAATTTGTAATTTAAGATTAAGATCAACATTGTCATTTTGTTTAAGAAAAGGGACTAAAAAAGAAACCTGGATGAGTTTGAGTGTTGCAGTGGTGCTATGACAATCAACGAGTGAAATCGTACGCTGATTTTTTTTTGTCCACGCCAGAGTAATAAGCATAAATCCAGCTTTACTTTGACATGAAGTGACATTTCTTCCTTTTACTGTAAACTTCTCACCCTGCCATACCTCGGTCGATAATTTCCTCCGTCTTTCCGGACTTCCTCTCCACCTTAACACATCTCTTCTAGTGTGACTGTTAAACATCAATTCAAAACTGCTGCAATTCTCTGTAACCCTGACGCCAAACCTGATTTACTGTTAATGTCAATGAAACATCTCACCACAGTTTCTGAAAATATCTAAATGTATAATAGGCCAGTCATGTACAGGAGAAGAAAAATAAACTGCTAAAAAAGGCCCAGAAATGCACGACACTTTCCCAGAAGCTGTTTCTATTTGTTGGATTTTTCCTTTAAGTCACTGAAACAAAATGTAAAGAACTCCTTCTCTACAGAAAACATGTTTCCAAAGGTTTTATTCCAAAACAAAATAAGTGTTTGAGCCCAAACTTCCCTGTTGCATTTCAAGTAATGCCAGTGATTTGAGCTTTTCTCCCCCCGTCACTTCCTTCCTGTCATCCTGCTGAATACTAGTCCTTCACACTGACCTTGTACATACGCTATAGCTGAAACAAAATGCATGACTAAAACTGACAGTCAAAACCTCTAAATGAAGGCCTTCTATAGCTGCGCAGGTTTGATTTGTGTAACATAACGCTATCACAAAGTCTAAAGGGATGCATGTATGGGTTTCTCCAACTGTGCGACAGTTAACTCCTGTTAAGTGACTCTGTTACCTCCATCTCTGTATAATGCTACTTCACGAATGATAAGAGAATGTATTTTCTGTGGCACTGTCCTAGTTTTAGCCTGTTTGCCAAATGACGTTTGGAGTTATTGGTCCCGTCACAGTCGGACCTCTTCTTCTACTCTCTGCTCTTCAGTTACCCCTTCTTCTCCTCAGAGGAATCACTCAGTCTCTCTCTTCCTACCGTAGCATCTCACAGCATACACATTTACACAGTGTACAAGTGTAAACAGTCGATTCTTGTACTTAAAAAAAAAAAGAACCCGCAGTTGACCCGGCCCCCTCCTCTCCATCAGCACAACCCTTTTGGCTTTCTTGAGAAAACAGACGCAGGTTCTATCTCGCAGCGTTTGCAGATTGGCACGTGCACTGATCGTATGCATACGTGGACTTGAATCTTCTGATGCTTCTGCATTACGCAGTCAACTGCATGACATGATAGACACATTGAGCTGATTCTTATCCCATGTTATGTACAGGAGTTTGATCTAGCTGTGCTGAGTGTGTTTAAAGACATCAGATATGATTGTTTTATGTTGTCTTTGCCTATCATGTCAGGTTTTGGACTGTGTAAAGTGTAATTCTTGTTTTGTTTTTTTGTTTCTTTCTTTGTTTTTTGTGAAATGTTTAGTCCACTAGTTGCTTCGCACTTTATTTGTGACTTCCTGGCTTTTGAGCAGGGACTGTTCTGCCCGATGTGAATGCTGACTGTTTCACTCCAGATGTATAGTCTGGAGATATTTTCATGTCAAAGAAAAGATGAATTCTCTATTTTCCTTTGTAAACTATATTTTGGCTTGTCTTGTTTTTTATCTGTGAAGATTTTAGGGGATGCAAAACTAGAAAGGGCTTACTCCAGTGCAGCTTGCGCTCTCGTGTTGGAAAGGAACAGCACTCCGAATGTATTTCTTTGTCTGTCATTTTTCCCCCCATATGAAATATCGCATCGAGTTTGAGCGAGATAGTACTAGATAGTAGGCCTACTTAGTTGCAACCTCAATAGTAGGCCTGCTCAAGTGAAGCAGTCTGCATCTTGACTATACTGACTGCTGCTACCAAGAGTACTGTACAGTCTGACTTCATGAAATTAGCTGCAACTCTAAAAAATGCAGGTTCCATGTTTTGGACAAGAATGTGATTCCATCAAAATTTAAATATGTCAGACAACTCTTCTTGCAGGTGAGATTGTAAAAAAACATTTAGTCGTTGAAGCCAGGCCCCCAAGAAGTGCGCTGGGATTTAAAGCCAGTTGTCATAGTGGCCAAACAGTGGAACTACAACTCCAGAGTTTTTCACATGACGCAGTTGGACCCATTGACTTACAACGGGAAAGAGACATCTGTAAATCAGTGGATACATTTTTTGTTGAATCACAGCCCCCGCAAAATGATTTGTTCCAATATCAGATTTATAATCTGATATCTAATATAATCCATTTGGTTGATAACATTTGGAAAGTCTTAAAGAGACACAAGATTAAATATTTTTATTCCCATTTAAGTTAGTAGAGCACTAAACCAGAAGTAGCCTGCTCAGCCAGCAGAAGTCTCTAGTGCACTTGCTCTTTGGGCCCAATGATGCAGAAGTAGTTTCATACTGCAGAAACAGATTTTTCTTTGCTTCATGCACCACTGAGCAACTTTCATAGGAATAAACAGGGTCCCGCCTTCAACACTGTATCCAGGTCTCTTAATACATCTATGGTTTAGGTGTGTTGTACTGGAGAAGAGTTATGAGACATGTTTTAATTTTGATGGACTTTCATTCAGGCTCACACTATTCACACACAAAAATTAACAAAGCGTCTGACGAACGTATTAGAAGCCTTTTTCAGTTGTCACAGGTCTGCTAACAAGGTTAGCTTAAAGCAGCTGTAAGGGTACAGCCACACAGGAGCGAAATTCAAAGCAAGCAGAGGGGCAAATAAAGAAATCTCTTCTGGTGACAAAGCAAATTCGCATCTACACTTTGCGTGGAGTTCAACTCTGGTGAACTTTGACCTGGGTTGGGCAGCCTCAACCAGTAGCAAAGAGACGTGTAGAGGAAACAATAATTGTTCCCCTGTTTAACCAGCTGATATTGTCTGATATTGGCTATGCAAACCACATACAACATACAAACGGGCCTACATGAGAGATGCTGCCTGGCTGGTCTTGGGTAAGGAGACAGGCATGGAATGTAAGAACATGGGAAATGTACCCTAACATAATATTTCACGGTATTAGCAAGGTAGCTAACATTCGGTCGCAAGCTAGCTTTCCATGTCAGGCACTGCCCACATTCAGCAAGCCCGGTCTCACTCTGAAATATTCCAAATCTGGTACTTGGGCAGTGACTTGCGGCATCACAAAACCAACAAAAGAAGGCATTCTTTAATGTCAGCATGATGCGCGACTGGTTGCTGATATAGTTAAATGCCCAGAGGCAGGACAAGGACGAAAGTTAAGGCGGCGAAACACCAGGGTACCTTGCATGTCGTATGTGGACGTTGAAAGTCTGTGACCAAATGCCAGTATGTGACGAGGTCGGAGTGAGAATATGTTGATTCAGCATGAATATCGCTTCAGAATCGAATATCTCTTCTCAGGCTTCAGAATATCGCTGGTTAAAGGAAATTTAAAAGGCAGTTATTAGGGTAAAAAGTTAAACTTTGTCTGGCAGAGTTGCGTGATCCTTTTTTGTTGGGATAACATTTCCTTCTCACTTGTTGAACATGAATTTGCATTTTGAGACTTTGCGCTAATTTCACAAAAAATGTGCTGCGTTTGAGGCTAAACACTGAAACACAGAATGCAAACTTTTCAGGCTAATAAACAAAATTCCATTTTCCAAATTAAACAAAAAACCTCAGAATATAACTATTTAGTTTGACTCATCTGCTTGTTTTAGTCTGAGACCCTGTTGAGTAGCATCACTTGTTCACACAGCTGATGAGTAATGCTAGCAGTGACGCTAACATCTGGTCCCAAACTGAGGAAGCAGATGAGTGAAGCTCAAACAGGAGTCCTGTATTTAAAGGTGTATCCCAGGATAAAAGGAAAGAGTTGCTGCTCAGTCTTTACTGCTTGTTCCCAGAGTGTTTTAGGTCTGAATAAAAATGTCCCTTTAATAACATGGGGTTTTCTAAATGACTCTACAACTCTCTCTGGAAAAACATGGTTTAAGTTTCACTTAAAGCTTATAGTGAGAATAGCATAATATCACTGTTGTCCTGTAAGTCGTAGTAAAAAAGATCTGTAGTTATTTATTTGTTGCCATGTGATTCTCCTTATGTGACCATTTGTTTATAAGATGAAAGAAAAATGTCAATTAAATTGAATGTGGAAGACAGATTTTTCTCTGCACATAGTCTTGATTTGCAGAATATGCCAATTAAAAAAACAACAACTGTCCGATGTCATTTTACAACATCGCAGCGTGTTTGCTGTGGACATGCATGGTGTTTCGATCCTGTTGTATATTGTCTTTGTTATCGTTTCTATTTTGTAATCTGTATTTCCAAATGCAAAATTTAAAAGATTATTTTGGATATGTGCATGCTTGTGAAATGTTCAGAATGTTGATTTCCACTAAAAGCTGTTGAGTTTGAAAAAAAAGTCACGTCTGTTACTTAAAATCTAATGTTTTATTTTATTTTGTTTATTTATGTTTTTTTGCAGTATAGCTATTACCGTAAAACTTCAATTAATAGCCTGGGCTATTATTTGGCACAGGCCTTTAATTCTTTTCACACAAAACTGTTGCTCAGTAAAGATCAGGAAATACAATCAAACTGTGTATTTAAACCAGTATGAATATTACTTGTATACAAATTAGGCTGTCTGTTATGAATTATTTATTTTAGTATAATGGACATATCATGTGACAGCTTCAGAAGTTGGGAGTCACCATCTTTTTTTTTCAACTCTCTTGTTTACCATGGCGGTAAATCTGGCGCTCATGGTTTCAGCAAAATGAACTGAATGATTAAATTATCTTGAATCTAACGAAGCTAACAATATGTAGTATCTCCATACTGACAAAATTTTAAACATTTATATTTGTGTATGTATGTGCGATCTAAACAGCTAACATTAGCTCAAGTTGGATGTCAACAACCTGGTTTTATACATCCAAAGAAAAAAAATGAACTGTTTGACAACCAGACCAGGCCTCTAATTGTGACAGGCCTTTATTGGTCAAAATGTGTAGCTACACCTATCAGCCAAAACATTAAAACCACTGCCAGGTGAAGTGAATAACATTGATCATCTTGATACAATGCATTGTTCTGCAGTGGAAACCTTTGGTCCTGGCATTCATGTGGATGTCAGTTGACATGCTCCACCCATTCCAACACATCAGGGTTACCTACCTCAGGTACCTACCTCAGAGGTACCACCAGTTCTCTGATCGAGCATTCGTGGGACATGCTGGAACCTCAGAGATACCCCTGATCCACAGTGGGGCCTTCTTGGATTGGACTTTACTCTGACCTGTAGAGGCATGGACACAGGACCTCTGGGGTTTTCCTGTGGAGTCTGACACTGGGCACTGATGGCGGCTCCTTTGTCCCACAGATGCTCGATCAGATTAGGATCTGGGGAATCTGGAAGCGGGGTCACACCTTAAGCTGTTTGTCACATTCCCTCGGGCCATTCCTGAGCAGATTTTGCGGTGTATAATGGCACGCTGTTCTGCTGGGGGGGGGCCACTGCCATCAGGGAGTTGAGCTGTGTGCCATGAAGGTGTGTACTTGGTCTACTATAGGATTTGGTCGGGTGGAGTGTGTCAGGTGGCATCTCCATGAATGCCAGGACCCAAGGTTTCCCAGCAGAACATTGCATCGTAACAACACGATAAATATTATGTACTTCATCTGTCAGTAGTTTTGATGTTTGACTGATCAGTGTGTACCAGGCTACTAAAAGGGACTGGGCGTTTAACTGGGACTAGGGTTTTATTGAAGTTCTAGGGTATAATATGACAGAGCTTCACCATTAATACGATTTATGCTTTTCTAGATGTTATAAGATGCTTTACATTATAAAAATAGATCGTTTTCAACCTAATTTGCTTCATCAACGATTAAGTTTAGAAGATTACTATTTTGCACTTAATGCATTTGACATGTTTGCAATTTGAATAACCTCTTAAAGTAAACATTTCCCATTGCTGATATTCTATTATACTAGAATCTGTATTTTTAAATCTCCACAATCTGCTCTGCAGCCACAGTAAATGGTTACAGTTGAAATTCATCCAGATACTGCACATGATTTACCAAAATCACAGTAGACAATATTTTGTCACAATTATTTATGGTTTGACAACAGCTAAACAATTCAAACAATTTGTACAGGTCATGTTATATTTCTGCTCCCCTCTGAAGAGTCTCTACGCCTGTGGAGTTTTCTCTTCTGTCAGGAGTTTAAAACAGTCAATCAGTTTTTACTTTAAAACACGTTTGGTGGACTTTAATATTTGCAACGTAATGATTTTATTTCTGATCCCAGTTGTGCTTTGCAAAGTGTTTCCCAGAATACCCTGGGCCCATCTGTCGTCATCAGGCCACCAGCTGGACCTGCTGGGCTCTGTAGGTGTCAAAGTCCTCAGGAAGAGTGTCTGCGGAGAGGAACAGCATGAGGTGAAATCACTGTTTGGTTTACAGTTTGAGCAGCCCGAGGAAAAATACTCAACATGATGCAGGAGAACTAATTTCGTGGCTGCAGTCAGATCTCTATTTTGGCTTAAGATCTACTTATTTCAGAATTTCAGAAACATCCCTCACCGTTGCAGCGGTAACGCAGGTTGGCCCAGATGATGTTCTCCTGGGAGAAGCAGAAGACTCCCAGTCGACCTCCTCTCATGGTGGCATCTATGATGACGCCTGTGTCCGCCACCATCTGAGTACCCTCGTAGAAACGAACTCTGCACACCGACAGAGAGCATGTGATATCACACAGCAACAGATGGATTCATAATTCAAAGATGTGTTTGTAAAGACAATTTAGATGCAGCAGGAAGGTTTATTTTTTCACAGTTTCTTGCACCTCTCAGTCTATGGCTGAAAATGTGAGGAACCAAACTGAATGCAAAGACATGAAACTCATCTCTAAAAGTATTCCTTTAAAGGTTTACTGTGCAGGAACTGTCGGTAACTGCCAGCGAAAGTGAAAGTGAAAGCCAACCCCAGATTCATTCTTGCTTGCAATATATGCATGCTATATCCGCTGTGTTCATGATTGATGAGTGGTTTTCTTAGCTTCGTCCTGAATGCATTCTGCCTACAGTCTGGCACCTGGTTGCTACCTTTTTAGAAAGTTACAACCTCACCTTCGTGCTGTGCTCAGGAACATCCCGGCAAAATAATAGCATATTAAAAAGAAAATAAAGTCCAGCCAGAGTCTCTGCAGATAAATATTTTTCCACGCACCTTTTGTTGGTCATAAGTGATGATTGAGAGGGATTACTTTTGTATGAGTCTACATATTGTGTTTTCAGAAATTCCTGCATAGCATTCCTTAAAGTCAGTCAGTACCTGATGTAGCCGTCGGCGGGTCGGTGTTGGAGGAACCAGCGGTAAGAAGTTTTGTCCTTCCAGCCAACATTGCGAGCATCTTTCCACAGGAGTTTGACCTGGTTGCTTGTGTCGCCGGTGTGCCACAGGGCGTTCCTCAGGTTTTCACCTGGACCCGTGTCTGACTTGACGGCCTTTTTAAAAATCACAAATGACAAGCAGTCTGAGCCTCTGGACTAATCTTTCATGTCCTCAGTGGCAACTCTTTGTGCTATAAAACTATTGTAATGCTGTACAAAGAACTGAATATTATCACTGTTAAACACAGTTGCACTGAGGTAGATTATAAGTGAGTTGTTAGCTAACAGGCGCCACTGAGGTTTAACCCAAACAGAGGAATTATGTCTTCCTGTACAGCAAATAATGGTACTCAGCATGTATAAACTGTAATTAAAAGATTTATTAATGTTTGATAAATAATGTTATAATGCTATCAGTTGGAGTTTATAGGTTGTGAGAAAACTTCTCTATTTAGCTCTTTAATTCATGTAAGACTCCCATCTGGACTTTTAACCACTTAACTGCTGGACAAAATCAATTTATAAACAGCTTATCAACATTTACAGCTGCATTTACTTGACAGGTTATTGTGGGAATCCTTTGTTACTGATTGATTAACAGTTATAGCTGCAGGTGACTAACTTTTGCAGCACTTCTCCAGAAGGTAGCAGCCTTTTAGAGGGGAGGATTTTCCGCAGCCTGGCAACCCCAAAAGTTGTTCTTAGTAATGGCTTACAACTTATCTATAATCAGATCATTAATTACTAATTTATTAGTCATAATTAAGCCCTTACAGCTTATTTAAAAATGACGATTTATCAGGAAGTAGCTCAGGTATTTCTTTCTCTGTGTCCGAACAGTAGGCTACCTTCAGCTGGATGCCTGGTTCTGCCACAGCTCTGAACGGGTTCGCCTGCCAGTAGATCTGTTCCACCTGCTTCCACATCACCACATAGAAACTGGAGCTGTCCTGATATCCAAATATAAATCCCGCGTAGTCGTCGTCCGTGACCGTGTTTACATGAAACGTCCCTTCAAAATCCACGCCACTGAAAGCTGTGTAGCCTGGTGGAGACATTGTAAATAGACATTTTCAGGAATACACATTTGCTTTGTTAATGAACGTTAGATGAAAAGATCAATACCAGCATCGTATCGTTTGATGTTTACAGCAACTGGTTAGCTTAGCTTAGCATAAAGCCTGGAAACAGCTAGCGAACATGTTCATTTTCAGAACTGGAGGTGCTTTTTGGCAGATTGCGTCACCTGCTGACGACCTGCAGTTGGTTAAAACATTGCTTATACAATGAAAGGGAGCTGTGATCCAAGTACTCTTTGGATTGCAACTTAAGTTTCTCTGTATCCTGTACATGTCCCACTGAGGGTTTATGGGTGTGCACATGACTACTCTAACTAAGTGGTATCGATCATCTCGTATAACTCTTGGCAAAAGCTGCTAGTTCCTCCTAAATCTCGACCTATTCCTTCAAGAACAGATATAATGATCTTACCAACAGCCAGTCCAGGATCACTGTTCATAGTCTGGACAATCTCTCTTCCCTGCACAAACAGACAAGTAGATGTAAGTGAAATCCAAACACGTTCAGCATTTTGGGACGCACACATAAAACAACAGGACCAAAAACCTGACCTGGTTCAGTACCACCCAGTTGGGGTCGATCTGTGCGTCTCCCTCTGGATCTAAAACAACAGTCTGGTACTCCCTGAAGTCGGTGAGGGTGACCTCTGCGTTTTCTGGGCAAACGTCGATGGTGTCGATGATGGTGTCATTGTCGAAATCCTTTTCGCAGATGTTACCAACACCGTCACCTGAGAAGATAATTCTAATGACCATCTTAAGAGAAAACCTTCTCTTTATTTGTTATTTACTTGACATAGCTGGAGGCATTACACACCATTAGAGTCCTCTTGCAGAGGGTTGGGGATCAGACGGCAGTTATCTGGACCAGGTGGCAGCAGGTCTGGGATGCCGTCATTGTCGTCGTCATCATCACACTCGTCGCCCAAGCCATCCTTGTCAGTGTCTAGTTGAGAGCTGTTGATGACAGCTGGACAGTTGTCCCGTGAGTCTTGGTGACCGTCTCCATCACTGGACAAGAGAGATTTTTACTGGCACATTCGGATTTTGGTCTGTAGGACACTCCTCACAGAGATAATTCAAAATACAGTACAGGCCAAAAGTTTGGACACACCTTCTCATTCAATGCGTTTTCTTTATTTTCATGACTATTTACATTGTAGATTCTCACTGAAGGCATCAAAACTATGAATGAACACATGTGGAGTTATGTACTTAACAAAAAAAGGTGAAATAACTGAAAACATGTTTTATATTCTAGTTTCTTCAAAATAGCCACCCTTTGCTCTGATTACTGCTTTGCACACTCTTGGCATTCTCTCCATGAGCTTCAAGAGGTAGTCACCTGAAATGGTTTCCACTTCACAGGTGTGCCTTATCAGGGTTAATTAGTGGAATTTCTTGCTTTATCAATGGGGTTGGGACCATCAGTTGTGTTGTGCAGAAGTCAGGTTAATACACAGCCGACAGCCCTATTGGACAACTGTTAAAATTCATATTATGGCAAGAACCAATCAGCTAACTAAAGAAAAACGAGTGGCCATCATTACTTTAAGAAATGAAGGTCAGTCAGTCCGGAAAATTGCAAAAACTTTAAATGTGTCCCCAAGTGGAGTCGCAAAAACCATCAAGCGCTACAACAAAACTGGCACACATGAGGACCGACCCAGGAAAGGAAGACCAAGAGTCACCTCTGCTTCTGAGGATAAGTTCATCCGAGTCACCAGCCTCAGAAATCGCAAGTTAACAGCAGCTCAGATCAGAGACCAGATGAATGCCACACAGAGTTCTAGCAGCAGACCCATCTCTAGAACAACTGTTAAGAGGAGACTGCGCGAATCAGGCCTTCATGGTCAAATAGCTGCTAGGAAACCACTGCTAAGGAGAGGCAACAAGCAGAAGAGATTTGTTTGGGCCAAGAAACACAAGGAATGGACATTAGACCAGTGGAAATCTGTGCTTTGGTCTGATGAGTCCAAATTTGAGATCTTTGGTTCCAACCGCCGTGTCTTTGTGAGACGCAGAAAAGGTGAACGGATGGATTCCACATGCCTGGTTCCCACTGTGAAGCATGGAGGAGGAGGTGTGATGGTGTGGGGGTGTTTTGCTGGTGACACTGTTGGGGATTTATTCAAAATTGAAGGCACACTGAACCAGCATGGCTACCACAGCATCCTGCAGCGACATGCCATCCCATCCGGTTTGCGTTTAGTTGGACGATCATTTATTTTTCAACAGGACAATGACCCCAAACACACCTCCAGGCTGTGTAAGGGCTATTTGACCAAGAAGGAGAGTGATGGAGTGCTGCGGCAGATGACCTGGCCTCCACAGTCACCGGACCTGAACCCAATCGAGATGGTTTGGGGTGAGCTGGACCGCAGAGTGAAGGCAAAGGGGCCAACAAGTGCTAAACACCTCTGGGAACTCCTTCAAGACTGTTGGAAAACCATTTCAGGTGACTACCTCTTGAAGCTCATGGAGAGAATGCCAAGAGTGTGCAAAGCAGTAATCAGAGCAAAGGGTGGCTATTTTGAAGAAACTAGAATATAAAACATGTTTTCAGTTATTTCACCTTTTTTTGTTAAGTACATAACTCCACATGTGTTCATTCATAGTTTTGATGCCTTCAGTGAGAATCTACAATGTAAATAGTCATGAAAATAAAGAAAATGCATTGAATGAGAAGGTGTGTCTAAACCTTTGGCCTGTACTGTAGATATATGTGATGTGATTGATGAGGTCACACAGTACCTGTCCTTGTTGGTGTCACAAGGGTCTCCAATCAAGTCATTATCTACATCAGTCTGAGAAAGATTAAATGAGTTATTGTGGCATTAAACTGATAAAAGTCAAAACAAAATGTCAAGCTTTTTGTGCAGATGTCATTGTAAGTGTCATTGTTAGAGATATGTGACCTGCTCAGGGTTTGGAACATAAGGGCAGCTGTCACAGGCGTCTCCCACGTTGTCTCCATCACGATCTTTCTGGTCAGGGTTGGGAACCCTTTTGCAGTTATCCAGGTGATTTAGGATTCCTGGAATTAAAGTGGAAACCAGTGAATGTTGAAGTAACTTATATTATGCCCCTAGTAACTCTGGTAAAGCTCAATTTTTTGGGGGTGTATAACCTTAATTTAGCTGTATGTATTTCATGTGTCAAAGAACTTTACAATCATAACTTGCATTACAGGCTTGTCCTATGTTTGTGTTGGCATATATTGGTACGACAAATCAAAATTTGCAGCTTTGAATCTACTGTTCATTATGGAAGCCCATTTCTGCCAGTGTGATGAAGAATAAAAAAGATCCTGTAAGCCGCTAAAATTAGAAACTTTCTCAAAATAGTGACCTGGTATATCAAAACAGTCTTTTAATTCTTCAAATTTAATGAGTTAGTATCTCAAAAAATGATGACTTGGTGTATTAAAATAATATTTGTATCTCAATAAATTACTTAAGTACTTCAAAACAGTTTCACAGTTTCCCAAAATCATGACTTAGTATCTCAAAAAAAAAATGACTATCTAAAATGAGTTACTCAAGTATTTCAAAATTGTCTCAGTATTTCAAAATGGTGACTTATTAACTCAAATTAGTTACTTAAGTATCTCGGAAAATGGCTCAAAATAGTGGCTGGTTGTCTAATGACTTTTTTTTACCTCAATAAATGACTTAAGTATCTCAAAACAGTGACATAGTATCTTAAAATAACGTCTAAGTGTCTCAAAATTTTGACTCTAGTAACTCAAAAAATAACTTAGTATCTCAAAATAGTGACTTGGTGTCTCAAAAGAGTAACTTAAAATCTCAAAACAGTAACATACTTTCTCAGAAAAAATGACTTAGTATCTTAAAATGACTTAAATACCTCAAATTAGTTATGTAGTATCTGTAGAGTGACTTAGTTTCTCAAATTAAGGACTTAGAATCTCAAAAAATGGCTTATCGTCTCAAGTATCAGTATTTCAAAATAATGACTTAGTATCTCAAAATGGCGACTTAAGTGTCCCCAAATAATGACTTAGTGTCTAAAATAATGACATAGCATCTTTAAATAATAGCTTACTATCTCAAAATAGTGACTAAGTATCCCAAAACAGTGACTTAGTATCTTCAAAATAATTAGAAATATAATTAAAATAATGAGTTAATATCTCAAAATAATGAGATACTATCTCAAAATGACTCACTTGAAATCTTTAAATAATCTAAAATATTACTAACTCATTATTTTGATAAAGTTTCTCATTATAATGACTTACAGGATCTTTTTTCATCTCATCGGTAGAACTGGGCTTCCATAGTTTAATCATTGTAAACATAAATGCTTAACATATAAAGCAATCTGTACTGATGTGACAGTGTGTAACAAATATGTAGAACACCAACCATCCCCATCAATGTCTTCATCACACTCATCACCGAATTTGTCCACATCTGTGTCTTTTTGGTCGTTGTTTTTGACGGCGCGGCAGTTGTCACAGGCATCGCCAAAGTCATCCTCATCAATGTTCCTCTGGTCCACGTTAGGCACCAACACGCAGTTATCCTGTAACACAGATGTACGCAGGCTTGTCATTTATTCTCATGTGTTTTAAATCATTTTCATCCTCTCTCAGTGTATATTATGCATGAACCTGCATGTTGGGAATCCCATCCCCATCTGCATCGTCATCACAGGCGTCTCCCATTCCGTCGCCGTCTGCATCTTCTTGACCAGAGTTGGGAACAGTGAGACAATTATCCTGAAAAGAATAAACACATAGTATCAAAGTGGACAGAAATTAGATGCTTTAAAGTTAATAATAGTGTTTCCAGTGTCATGGAAACACTATAATAAACACATAGTATCAAAGTGGACTGAAATTAGATGCTTTAAAGTTAATAATAGTGTTTCCAGTGTCATGGATCAGTTTCTCCCACCATGGAGAACATGCCATAACCTCACATACTAGACAAAGGTGCAAGTTCTCACCAGGTCTCACAACAATCTATATATGTTACCACATCTACAAATGACCTGCAAGTATTCTATTCTTTGCAGATGACTGAATTGTGATCATTTATGTTGTTTTTGTGTCACTGATCTTTAAAGACTTCTCACAGAGACTCTTGGAGGCTCACCTTGTTACAGTTCCTCTCAGGACAGGCCAGTTTCTCATCAGGGAAACCATCAATGTCAATGTCCGGCCCGCAGAGGTAGCCATTGCCAGCCCACCCGACTCCGCACTGTGAGGATGGATAATGTTTTATGTACTGTACAGCATGTTGTGTACTGCATATAGCACCAGATGACCCTAAGTGATCAAACAGACACAAAATCTGGCAGAAGTACTGAAAGTTATATGTTTCAAAGAGCTGGGTGAAATCTGTTTAGCAGCTTTGTACAAATTGTGCTTATGCTATATTTAAAGCTCTTCCTGACTGTCTCCTTTTGAGGAACTAAGAAATATGTGGGCAGTAAAAGAAAAAAGAAGTTTTTATGTGACAGTACGCACATCACAAAGTGGGGCCATGATGCGTAAAAACAAACCATCACAACTTCCCATTAAAGAGAGATTTACTCAGCACAGAGATACTAAAGAATCAAAACTTACATAAGTGGATAATGACGATTGTCAAATGGTTAAGTCACTCACTCTTACTTGAGGCTGCTACCATGTGAATCTGCCATTTTTCCTCTGACAGATATAAACTCAGAACAAGAAGCAGAAACTTTGATTTATTCACCTGACACTCGATGACACCGTCTCGATGGACAGTGCACCCAGCGCTAGGGTGGCAGGGGTTGGGTTGGCCACTCCCACAGGCTCTCTCTGGCTTACAGCCTTGCCGCTGATCCCCAATGTAGCCCGTCTTACAGGGACCACACCTGAATGAGCCCTGATGACGGACAGAGGAAACAGACCCATTATTTCAGTGGTAACAGCGAGCATCAGTCTACGTTACCAATTTGGCATTGTTGCGATAGAACTTCCAAAGACTGCAGAAACTTTGCACCATATTGGATTTTACTCGAGTCACTTACTGACTCTGAAGTGTCACAGAATACAGTGACTCATTTTACATTCAAGCTCCAACTTTAATGTTCAGTATAAAAAGCTTATAACAAAAAGATGGAGGCGTAACAAAAAAAGGCATTTGTGGTTCAAACGTGTGTTTTTGTTTGCTGCAATTGCAAAGCCTGACAGCGGCATAGATGGATGATATGAGTTCATGATGTGTGTCTGGTTGCAATTAGGGTTGCAGCGATATACCGGCAGCATGATATATAAGCTGACAGTTATCATACCATGTACATTTGCTTATCTACGATATTGGAAAAAAATGCAACTCAACACTGAATCTCCCCTTTATTTTAGTTATTTTCAACACACATACTTCCATTAACAAAATGGTTTTAAGTTTTATAAAACATTTATTCAACCAACAATAACATTCTATTTTCATGAAACTGATATTAATATAAATTCTGTCATGCCGTAATTCCACGAAACCGCATTATTTTCTGAGATGATCATCGTACCATGAACACCTCAAACCGTTGCAACCCTACTTGCAATATTTTGCCTTAAAATTGATTGATGAATTTGACACTGATTGTGCAAGACTTTATTTTACCCATCGCACAGTGTGACATGCAATTAACCTGCAAGTTACCTGCAAAGCTTAAAGGAGCCATAAAAACACTGTGGTCAGAAGTGACAATGGTAAATGCTAAAATGTGGTATAACAGTAGCAAAAGTACAGAAGAGTCATAGGATCAGTAGTGTCAGTTATTCAGAAATACAGTTATATACTGTAAATCTAAAGTTTGCTAGTATTAGCCAGCATAAGATTCTGATCATATCAGACCAAGGAAAGTAGTAACAAGTGGTAATGGTGCATTTATCTGCTTATGAACACAACAAGAGGACTATTGTGTTATTCCTTGTTTTAAAAGTTACACAGTCTTACTTTAAATTGTGTTTTTGTTGATTTATTGTAATTTCATAGTGTGAATACTCACAGGGGTGTTCATACAGATCGAGTTCTCCACACAGCCTCCGTTGTTAAGGCCTTCACACTCATTGATATCTCTGCACACCTGGACAGGAAAAACAGACAGAAAAAAAATCCAGTAACTGCAGTAAGCTTCCACATCAAGGCTGGAATAAGAGGTAGGGATAAGAAATGAGGTGCAGCAGAGTGAAAACAGCTCTGTGTCGAGGACGAAGGTGGTGCTGAAACAGACCAGTGCACCCTGTGTGACACACTGTATGTACAGGAGAGAGTGAGGAGGTGTTGATGATGAAGTTAGAAAGGTGCTGCTGAGAAACATGTGGAGGTGCAGAGGGAAGAGTTTCTCCTTCCGAAAGTTTTAACAAAAAATATAACAATATATAAAATAATAGTATGTAAATTAATACAGCATCTTGATACTTTATACTTTGATTAGTTTTTTAACATTTAATTACATGTTGCATAGCAAGCACTGTAGGTAACTGAACATTAAGTAATCTATATTAATCTTCAGGGTAAATCAATTGATCTTGGATGGCGCTAAAATATCAATATAATAATGTTGTTACTGTTATTAAAATGTGTTATACAATATTAGCAATAGCCATGGACGCACCATCAGGAGGGGCAAACCAAAAATATGTGAGAAAAGGGGCCAGTGAAAGCCTCTTATATTGACATATTTTGCAATGACAACGATTTTTGCCTCACACACTCACACACTGATGGAACAGCCATCTGGAGCAATTTGGGGTTTGGTATCTTGCCCAAGGATACTTCTACATGCGGACTGGAGGAGCTGGGGATTGAACCGCCAGTCTTCTGATTAGTGGATTACCCGCTCTACCTCAGAGTTATGGCCGGCCAGTGTGATCCAAAGTACATCAGAAGCCTTTTGTTTTCTTCTTTTGCTGTAGTATTGATACTAACGGAGGTATTACTTTAGAGGAGCTAATCAGCGCACGTTTCTATGTGTGTATATTTACAGGTGATGCTGACCTGTTTGTTGGCAGCGGCATAGGCAAGGCCGAGGCCTTGGACCTGGGGGCCGGTGTATCCAGCAGGACAGGCACCGCAGCGGAAACCAGGGGAGGTGTTAATGCAGCGCACTCCCATGTGACACGGCATCACAGTACACTGCGGACAACAAAGACAGAAACACAAACAAGACGCTCATCGAGAATCCAAATCTGAGTTTTGTCAGATGTTTACATTCAAATGTGTTTTGAGGTTTAGGTCAACATGACAGGGCTGTTCATGAGAATCTAATGATAGTAGAGATTCACACAGGTGTTTTCACTTATTCAGGCTGATTAGACCGCAGGTTCAAGATGGGCAGAGCTATGCTGGTAATTATATGAGGTCACTAAGCAGGTGCAACAAACCTAGGAGTCTAATCAGGCTTGAAGTGATAACCCCTGTGTAGGTGGACCATTATAGCTATATTTTAATTTAAAACATTAAAAGCAGATGCCAGAGAAGAGCTGAAGAGAGAGACACAAACACTTTTTAAAAATCCCTCAAACTGAAAACAAATAATTTTACCATCATATCAACGTATCATATTATGTTGTGATCTACTGTATCGTATATCTCTGCGTACCTCGTCCACATCAGTACAGTGGGTACCGTTACCCTCCATGCCCTCTGGACAGGGTCCGCACTTTATTCCCTGAGGCGTCTCCTTACACTTCACCCCTGGGTGGCAGGGGTTGGGCACACAGGAGGGACGAGGCTGTATTCCTCCCATCCCTAAAAAGAGAGAAGGTTTGTATCATCTAATCCACTTTGTTCTGATGGATTCTGTAGTATAACAGCTTTGTATGATGATATAAATATCTCATTAGCATATAGAAATATTGTTTCATTGTTTCTCTGTATTATTCTTTTATACTGATTTCCTATGCAGGTCTGAAAGTCTGAAAGTTCTTCAAATTTTCAGCAACAATTCAAAACACTGTTGAAAAGGTAAAAACAATAGCTGTCATTATTAATATAAAGTCACCTGTTTAACAACCAAAACTTAAAATTCAGTTGTAAAATGTAGCTGTTAGGAAAACACTGAATCTTAAAATAGGAATGTTTGTATTGTGTACACAATCGTCAAGTAAAGTACTCATAAGAGTTTTTGTCTAGTTGGTCAACTCACCACAGGCTTCACACTCCATCACTGTGTTCTTCAGGAATACTATCTCTTTAATCTGGAAGATACAATCAAATGTTTGTGTGAAGCATGGAGCCCATCAAGCTGAACCTAATCAACCGTCCAGTTTTACTTAATGGGCGGCTGCTTTACCAGTTTACTAGCAGCCCTTACTGTGTGAACACAGACACTTACACAAGATGTGGATCATCAGCATTATGAACAGATACATATTGACTTAATTCTTGCTGTGTGTTTACCTGCTGTTTCAGAAGCTCTTTAATCTCAGCCAGTGCGAGGTTTGTCATTTTAATCTGACTGATAATTTCTCCATCTGAAAATAAAAGTAAAATCATTACTCCCATTTCAAGAGATGCATAACACAACCGCAGCTATTACAACCAACTGACTTACCCAGCTAATGAACCAGTCCACACTGTGTTTAACCACAGACTCTGAGAAAGTTTAAAATTTTAAAACCCTTTACATTATGTCAGTCATACTTTTATTTTTCTTTGCCATTCGAAATTCTATGGTTATTCTACATACACAAAACTTTTTAGTTAAACCAATAATTTCCTGTTTTCTTTTGTATTTTTTGTCATATACAGATATGTAATGATGAATGCTGGTTAATATGTATATTGATGTTGTCCGATATCAGGTCTCTGTTTAATTGTGTAAAGAGACGATATGATTTACAGCAGCTAGTTTAGGAGCAAAATCTCAATCACAAGCTGGGCACATCTGCAAGTGGATATAAGGTGAATATAAAGAAGGCAGTAAGACACACTGTTGGTGAAATATGTGTGTGTGTGTGTGTGTGTGTGTGTGTGTATACAGTACAGGCCAAAAGTTTGGACACACCTTCTCATTCAATGCATTTTCTTTATTTTCATGACTATTTACATTGTAGATTCTCACTGAAGGCATCAAAACTATGAATGAACACATGTGGAGTTATGTACTTAACAAAAAAAGGTGAAATAACTGAAAACATGTTTTATATTCTAGTTTCTTCAAAATAGCCACCCTTTGCTCTGATTACTGCTTTGCACACTCTTGGCATTCTCTCCATGAGCTTCAAGAGGTAGTCACCTGAAATGGTTTCCACTTCACAGGTGTGCCTTATCAGGGTTAATTAGTGGAATTTCTTGCTTTATCAATGGGGTTGGGACCATCAGTTGTGTTGTGCAGAAGTCAGGTTAATACACAGCCGACAGCCCTATTGGACAACTGTTAAAATTCATATTATGGCAAGAACCAATCAGCTAACTAAAGAAAAACGAGTGGCCATCATTACTTTAAGAAATGAAGGTCAGTCAGTCCGGAAAATTGCAAAAACTTTAAATGTGTCCCCAAGTGGAGTCGCAAAAACCATCAAGCGCTACAACGAAACTGGCACACATGAGGACCGACCCAGGAAAGGAAGACCAAGAGTCACCTCTGCTTCTGAGGATAAGTTCATCCGAGTCACCAGCCTCAGAAATCGCAAGTTAACAGCAGCTCAGATCAGAGACCAGATGAATGCCACACAGAGTTCTAGCAGCAGACCCATCTCTAGAACAACTGTTAAGAGGAGACTGCGCCAATCAGGCCTTCATGGTCAAATAGCTGCTAGGAAACCACTGCTAAGGAGAGGCAACAAGCAGAAGAGATTTGTTTGGGCCAAGAAACACAAGGAATGGACATTAGACCAGTGGAAATCTGTGCTTTGGTCTGATGAGTCCAAATTTGAGATCTTTGGTTCCAACCGCCGTGTCTTTGTGAGACGCAGAAAAGGTGAACGGATGGATTCCACATGCCTGGTTCCCACTGTGAAGCATGGAGGAGGAGGTGTGATGGTGTGGGGGTGTTTTGCTGGTGACACTGTTGGGGATTTATTCAAAATTGAAGGCACACTGAACCAGCATGGCTACCACAGCATCCTGCAGCGACATGCCATCCCATCCGGTTTGCGTTTAGTTGGACGATCATTTATTTTTCAACAGGACAATGACCCCAAACACACCTCCAGGCTGTGTAAGGGCTATTTGACCAAGAAGGAGAGTGATGGAGTGCTGCGGCAGATGACCTGGCCTCCACAGTCACCGGACCTGAACCCAATCGAGATGGTTTGGGGTGAGCTGGACCGCAGAGTGAAGGCAAAGGGGCCAACAAGTGCTAAACACCTCTGGGAACTCCTTCAAGACTGTTGGAAAACCATTTCAGGTGACTACCTCTTGAAGCTCATGGAGAGAATGCCAAGAGTGTGCAAAGCAGTAATCAGAGCAAAGGGTGGCTATTTTGAAGAAACTAGAATATAAAACATGTTTTCAGTTATTTCACCTTTTTTTTGTTAAGTACATAACTCCACATGTGTTCATTCATAGTTTTGATGCCTTCAGTGAGAATCTACAATGTAAATAGTCATGAAAATAAAGAAAACGCATTGAATGAGAAGGTGTGTCCAAACTTTTGGCCTGTACTGTATATATACACCTAAAACTCTGTGTCTGTGTGCTTCATGACTAGTAACTAGGGCACACTATGGCCCATCATAATGAGTACATTTAATATCATGAAACTACTTTTGATACTTAACTACAGTAAATAGCAAATACTTTAAGACTTTAACTTAAGTAATATTCTATCAGGTGATAAGTATTTCAAATGAAGACTAAATTAAAAGAAGCAATTCAGATCCCTTGTGTGTGGTGCATCTGCTTATTTACTATCATTCTAATAGGTGACTTAAACTTCTGCCAAAGTCATTCTCTGGTAAGACATTTGCACTTTTACTCAAGTGTGGTTTTCAGAGTCCATCAACTACCAACAATAGAGGACATACAGTATTTATTTCCATACTTTGGTTTTCCACTTTCTGTCATTTCCATTACTGGGAATAGCAACTGCAATAAACTTACAGTGATATTCTTTGGTAACTGGGGATGGCTACCAATAGCTACCAGGAAACAGCACTAGCAATGATTGACTCATTTCCTGTTCCAGTAAATGGCTTACTGGGAACCAATCTAAACGCTGATGGTGTCATTACTCCATAGCCATTACACTGTGCATTCAGCATTACCTCATAATGATAGGTTGAAGCAAAAAAATGCAGGCTATTGGTCCTAAATTGTGAATTAATATGGTCAATATTACATGTGTAAGAGACAGAGGCATATCATAGAATAATATCATATCAAAATTGTGCAGATTCTGATGTGTGTGCAGATGCATGCCTGCAAAGATAACACATTAAACGATCAAACGGCAAAACAAACTAAAATAGTGTTCACACATCACCTCATCAGTCTCCCTGTTGGCTGAACATGTGAGACCAGAGGCTCACTCAGCAAATATGGACATGTGTGTGTGTGGGGGGGGGGAACTACACATGTCCTCCTGTAAGACATGATCCACTGCCTGTTGAATACCAGAGTCTACTGTAATACCTGACGTTCCTCAGCCACCGTAGGCCTCGTTTGTATCCACCTCCCACACATTCACTGGAGTCAGAGATGTTTTGATGGCAGCTGCAAAATTGATTTTCCAGATATGGAATGATACAAGATTTTCTGGAAGAGACATTTTTGTGTGCTACCAGGAACTAAACTCTGCGGGTGACTCTGTGTTTCTACAGTGGAACAGAGTAAGTTTTGATCTGGATTTTTGACGCAGATTGTCTTCTTTGAAACATCTATCAAATGTCCGACGACACAAAAATGCTATAAAGACTGTCTATGAAACATGACTATGTAATGTTTGAAAGAAGAAATACAACATTCCTCCTGAATGATAAAATACACTCAGAGGTTTTGCTACTACAGCCTCACTTGGTCAGGTATGACCTCTGGGTTATGGAGGCTCATGTTTGCTAACTAAATTGTTGTGTAGCTGGTATTACCAAGTTGAGTCAGTTGGTCTTCTCTAATTCAAAGTTTTATTCTAAATGTATAACAAGCCACTGATGAAAGAGAATCTCAGAAAATGAAGAGGAATTCAGCGTCGCTGTGTTCAAAGACAATCCCCAGTGCACTATCCTCCACATGTCCTCCATTTATTTCAGTGTGCGAAATCTGAGTGTGTAACTTTATCCACTTGAGAGCGGCCTCAATGATTCCCACAGTGGAATAAAAAAGGTAGTGCAAGGACACTAATTTCTGCTAACAATGTCTCATATTTAACAGATGTGAAAATGAGCATTGTGCAACTCTACAATTGTAAGATAACACATGATGATGATGATGATGATGATGATGAAGATTCATAAGTGTCTGAAATGTCCAGTTATTGCTCACTAAAGAGGAAACTGAATGTGTGTGTGTATACAGAGTAGCCACTGAACAAGGAAGTGGTTCATCAGACACAGCTTGTGGCGTTGTCTATCTTGTAACTGCAGCTTGTGACGATTACACTGTCTAACTTTTTTTTTTTTTTTTTAAATGACCTAAAGCAGGGGTGTCAAACATATGGCCCAGGGGCCAGATTCGGCCCACCAAGACTTTGCACACCTGATGTGAATCTAATGATTGATGAATCTGTGTCAGACTTTTATCTTAAAACAACATAAGTGGGACCCTTCTGCTGAGGCACTGACAAAACTTCAGATTGTAAACAGATTGTTTGTAAGACAGGGGATGACTTCACCATCTTCTTCAGCAGCTTCACTTTAGTGGAAAATGATTTTTAAAAATACACATGTAATGACTGTGAGTAGTAGACTGACTGAATGTGGAAAAAATGAGACATACTGATGAGTTTACACACTATTTTTTGAGGATATTGCAGGCTGTTCATCATTTGTTTGGTAAATGGTAAATTTATAGGTTATTATCTAATGGTTTTACTGGTCTGGCCCACTTGAGATGAAACTGGGTTGTATGTGGCCCCTGGACTAAAATGAGTTCGACACCCCTGAACTAAAGGCACATTTGCATCAAGAGTAGTTTACCTGACTCTTCATTTGGGTCTTTTATCCAGGAGAAAATTATTCCATTTGAATCCTAGTGGCATCAAATAGCAACACTGGCATAAAGACTTTAAAACTGCAATAACTGATTTTTTTTATTTTTTTTTGCCACCAGGGGGCAGCAAAAAGAAGTTGCAAGCACTGCATTGGCATATTACCACATGGTCTGCGCCAACTCCAGAGGAGGTTAAAAAAAAGGGGACACTGTCATATCACGTCATATCATTGAAGTGCAATACATGCACAGCGAAATCTGGTAAGGTTCAATAGTTGTTGTCACACTAACAACACACAAAAATTAAGATATGGGTAAGAATTACAATTGTGCAATTATTGCAAAGACCATGAGCAAATGTTTTCTGTATTAAAAAGTTCTATTTTATATCAGCCTGGTTGAGCGTAACCAAAACATTCTGTCAAGCAGAGTGCACCAAAGAAGGCTTGAAAGAGCGTACCTAAGAGCACGATCTCTTTATTTCTAGCGCTGTCTGTTGTAACCCTCCAACATCGTAACTCCACTTACATTGCACGTGTCATACCCATAGACTGTGAAAATAATGATTTTAACTACCTTCACCGACGTTTGCGGACAACTGTTTTGAAGCCTCAAGTATGGCTTTTCGGCAGTCGCCATCTTTGGTTTTTGGAGCCAGAAGTGACCATATTTGGGCGAGATGCTGGAGCTGTGGAGAAGCGAGGGGTGGAGCTGACTGCGAAGCCGAGTACACTATTGGCAGACTGCCTGTCACTCACAGTGGCCCGCTGTTTAATAAAATGTGAATGGGCGAGTTTGAAAAAAATTCACTTCCTGTACAGTTGTCATGGAAACTAGCTATAGAGACCAAAACCATTTTGTGTGCCTGCCAGGCTGTAAAAATGTTTTTTGTCTGCTAAGTTGGGTATTTTATCATATGGGGTCTATGGGGATTGACTGCCTCCTAGAGTCAGCCTCAAGAACTGCAGTTTATGGCACTTCTGTGTTGGCTTAATGTTTTTTATAGCCCCGGTTGGATGCTTGGTCATAGCTACCCCTTAGCTCCTGGGGTCAAAGACAGTGTCCCGACCTTTGTTTAAACAACTCCTGAGGGAACTATCTGTCTCTTTAGCTCCTAAATTTCTCAATATGTTCACCATTTGTTAACTGTGTCTGTCTGCTGTTTGGGGCTGGCAGGTGGTGTACAGCAGGGGGTTTTTTAAACAAAAAAACCTTTATCTCTAAAAACGACGTGACTGGCGAGAGTGAAGTTAAACAGCAGAACAATGAGCTCAAACTCACTGTAAAGCTCCATGCAGTCCACGCTGCAGATTCAGATGATAAATCTATGCAGGTACATGGGACCCCTTTCACCATCACACTGTTTTCACATTTTCTTTTAATACATTGATTACGTGCTCTAACTTTTTCACTTCTTTTTAAGATATTTTTTAAGGCATTGTTTGCCTTTAATCGACAGGACAGTGAAGCGTGAAGGGGGGAGAGAGAGGGAGAGACATGCAGCAGAGGGCCACAGGCTGGACTCGAGCCCGGGCTGCTGCGGCAACAGCCTTGTACATGGGGCGCCTGCTCTACCACTAAGCCACCGACGCCCCACTTTTTCACTTCATTTGCAAGGATAAGTAAAAGTCACAGATTCTCTGTTGGACAGATTTATTCAGTTCCTCTCATAGCAGGATGGGATGCTCAGGTGTGGTGAGATCCTGAAGCAACATGTTGCTTGTGTTTACCTAAAGACCCCCCCACACCCCCCACCACTCCTTCCCCCAAAGGAGTCGTACGAGGGCAGAGACCTCCAGAGCATCAAGCAGAGGAAAACGTGGTATTTCCATTAGCAGCAACTCTGTTTACTGAATGGATTCCACAGCAGACAGAAAAGATACTGGAGATAAATCACTTCTTGCTGCTAATAGAAAGGTAAATGAGAGTGTTTTGTTTTTCTACAGCTGAAAGCTCTCAGTAATTGTTTTTCCTCATTGTATACTCAGAACAGCTTTGCACAGAAATTGAAAACTCCTCTGAGCTTTTCTGAATCCTCTACAAGTCTAATACTTATTTACATTGTGAGATACTGATGAAAAAAGCAGGGACATTAAAATAATAAATCCTAATTTAAGTTTCAAACCTCTGTAACATTATTTTACCATCCAGTCTTTACAATTTGCACTTGATGTTTCTTTGTTTTTATGAGTTCTCTCCACTGGTTTGGATAATGGTAGTCAGTTTGCATGCATACAGCTGCAATTACAATTTCTCATAGCTCATATAAATTCATGTAAATAGTGCCAGTGTGCAACTCTCACTAATTTATCAATGCTTGCTCCCCAAGGGATCAATTAGATTATTGTTGCTGACCTTCACAGCCCAAAGTAAAAATAATGACCACAAAATACAAGCAGTGTTTCTCACCTCTCTGTCCTGCTGCAGCGTGTCCTCCCATGCAGAGCGCACAGCTCAGCACCAGAAACCACAGCATGGTTTAATCGGTGTTCGCAGATGCTTCTGCTCAGGTACAGCTTCTTCTGTCTCCTCTGCCTTCGGACTCAGTGCTACTCCTGCAAACCTGGGTCCCAGCAGTCGTTTTTTATACCCCCCCCCCCCCCCCCCCCAGTCTGCCTCCCCTCCCAGGCTCACATCCCCAACCTTTCCCCTGAAACTCCTCCGTAAACCACGATTTGGGGGAGTCCAAGTAGTGGGAACAGGGCTTTGATTGCACAACATATTACACCCCCACATATAGTAATACTGTTGATGCATCAGAGTGGGGAAACTGGGATCTTTGGGGAAACTGTGCATGGGCCCTAAACACCATAAAGACACTATGGTTTGTAGAGGAAATAAGGCTGTCTGAGTTAGAGTGTTTGTTTAGGTCTCTTCTAAAAATGTACTTTTATGGATTTTGATTCTTGGTTATTATCTTGGTTTTAGTTTTAGCTGTTTTCTTGGTGACATTTTGGTTTATTTCATTTTCCTTTTGTTTTAAATGTTTTTCTTGTAAAGCACTTCGGAACTGTGTTTTAAAAGCTGCTATATGAATAATTTTATAATTATTACTTTAATTGTTGGCTGGATCATTGCTTGGTGTTCAAATTAGAAACCTTCATATCTGACAAAATAGAGTTTCCATTCTTTTAGTCCATTAGTTGTTTTTTGGCCTCCTGGATTGTTGGTTATTTGATCATTTAAAACATAAAACTACAACTTATGGTAGCATTTGACACTTGATGTCTGATTTTAATGGATTTTCTGTAGGTAAAAGTAAACAAATTTTTTTTCATCTTCATCTTCATATCTCACCTGCAGGAGAATTTATGTGCCACACTGGAAACGATAATGCTTTCTAGACCAGTTCAAGCTGTATTTTTTTAATTAACCACTCATTATTTGCTTTAATATGTTACCAATTATATGATTTATCCATGAACTGTGTAACCATGTGATAAGCTTTGTGTCTGACATGTTGCATTACACACTTAATCAGCAGTGACACTGAAACAGTTTTTACATAAAATCAGTAAGGCTTCAGATCCAGTCCACATTTTACAACAAACCTGTGTTTACAGGCTCATGATTACAAATGCATTAGAATTTTTCTGTGTGTGTGTGTGTGTGTGTGTGTGTGTGTGTGTGTGTCAGTGATGGGATCAGCAGATGCCGGTAACATTCCTCGCAGTAAAGCTTTTTGAGGTTTTGGGTCCAGATCTCTTTGATAAGCTCTCACCACCTCCTCTCTCCCTGCGTCCCCGCCTGCATCCCTCGCTGCCTTGCCCAAAGGAGCAGGGAAGTCTAAGTCTGGGGGCCTCCGCTGGAAAAACAAACACGGCAGCTCATTTCTGTCATCATACTGGAGACCTGGACTCTTTACTCTGAAGTGGAAGAAAATAGACACCTCTGAGATCTTTCCTCAGGTCTTTAAACTGTTATCAGCAGGAAATGAACGTCTGTAGGAAGAGTCAGTAAATTAGTTTCATCTTAATGTGTTTTATCAAAAGATGGAATGAGACATTAATGAATTGAAATCCTTCAAAATAGTTTAGATGTTGTTAAAATCTTATTTCAAACCGTAAAACAGTATCATACATAATCAAAATTAAATATTCTCTCTTTCTTGGATCATTTTAATCCACATATCTTGGATCTTTGGACACTTAGAGATCTCTGCTAGAATTCACAATCAAATTCTTTTAATTTGAACAATGTTTGGCTGCACTGAGTTTGAACTGGCTAACCCAAGTCTGGTCAGGTCTCAGGCAGTAATGGTGCATAATGTGAGAAAAAAGTTGTATAAAGCCTTTTGTGGCTCCAAAGGGAGGCAAAATCTGATGCTTTGACTGAAATGATGTCACTTGAGTCAGCATTGACTGGTGTCGAAGTCTACAAGTTTGAAAATTAAATAATAAAAAGTCTGTGTGGAGTATGCATGTTATCCTCGTGTAGGTGTGGGTATTCTCCAGGTACTCCGGCTTCCTCCCACAGTCCAAAGACATGCAGGTTAATTGGTGACTCTAAATTGTCCATAGGTGTGAATGTGAGTGTGAATGGTTGTCTGTCTCTATGTGTCAGCCCTGTGATAGTCTGGTGACCTGTCCAGGGTGCACCCTGCCTCTCGCCCAACGTCAGCTGGGATAGGCTCCAGCCCCCCCGCGACCCCTGACATGATAAACAGTTAGAGAAAATGAATGAATGTTCTCCAGCTGTCTTTATCATTCTGAAACCATAACACAACAAATGTTGAGGGTGATTAATTTTCACTCCTGTCATTTAAAAAGAGGCAAAAACTGTCTGATGTTACTATTTTGTCAGAAACAGAATTACTTACAGAGAAGCAGCAGAACTTCTGTCATGTCTTGTTAAGCTCCTAGGTCATGTTTCTCATAATTTAGATCAATGTCCTATTTTATTTTGGTACTCAGCCAACGTCCAATTACCTCTGCCTCCTTTGTGTATTTAGTCTGGGTGCCCTGCTCCCTGTGCCAGTTTGGCTTTGTAACTTTGTGTCAAGTGCTCCAGCAATTTTCCTAGTGTTAGCATTCCTGGTAATTTGGATCCTCGCTCATGGTTTTTGTCCTTGCGTTTTCTCTAGTCCTTTCTGCATTGTTTGCCTGCCTGTGCACTGAACCTTTTGTGAAACTAAAGACTTTTGATTTTTCAACTTAACTGTTTCTGAGTTGTGTACTTGAATCCACATCTCTCTATACCAGTCTCGTTAACGTTTTGCTCAATTTATTTTCCGATTAGTCACACAGACGGAGGAGAAATGATACACAGTTGAAGGTGATTTAAAAACCGAGAAGATTTGTGGCTTTTAAGAAAACATTTGGGGCTGGAGTCCTAGATGCCGCCCCCTGCTCCAACACTGCTGCTTGAGGCTGGTGGCTCAAGGCTACATTAGCCTCTACTAGCATAACATACCTGGATCTCCAACCAAGTTGCATTGTGGGTGATGCAGGCACCATGTTTTGACAAGGAAGACAAATGTGTGGAACAAAAAACATGATATCTTTGGTTCTGCTGCATCTACACTTTAATTATCCATCATGAATCTGACAATGTTACAGGAGCGCAATGCTAAACCAGTGAGTACTCTTTTACGTGTTGAGCAACAGTTTAAAACAACACCTTGCTGTGTTGCTGCCGCGTGTATTACACCTAAAGTGAATAATGCAAACTAGTTTTTGTAACTACATCCTTTTTTCTGCATCTTTTAACGTGAGATGCAAACTTATTATTTATTGTCTTCTGCATTTTTTGACAGAAATAATCCAGTTTTCTTGTGAATATCAATAAAGTTTCATATCAATGCTTAAAATCACAAACACAGTCAACCAAAGAGGACAAAGTATCTGTGAGCTCCAACAGTGCAACAAACATGACCTAAAAATGCAGCGTACAGATCATGTACCTCTGATCTTCTCTGCTGCTGTGAGGAATGTTAAGGTCAAAGGTCGAGTGTAACAACCTCCTGCTAAGTTCATTAGTGATGCTTTATTGCTTGTGCGACAAGAGGTTTGTCAGCGAGGCAGGGGGCGCCCAGGTTTCTCAGGACGTGACCTCGGGTTGACCTCAGCCCTTTCCTGTCACCTCCCAACAGCCTCAGAGTTACATAACAGAGAGTTTATGGAGACAAACTGCCAAATGACTCCTGGACCAGCGTTGGTCTTAAACGTATCTTAAATGGTGGAGTTATTTTAACAGAAAAAGTACATTGCAATAAATACTCCTAAGTGTTAGAAACTGGTTTCAGCTTCAGAATAATTTGAGAGAGCTCCAGCATGAGAGTTATATGACCCAGTTAAGAGGAGTCACAAGCAGATGGCTGCAACACAGCACAGAGACAGAGCTTCACACTACGTAACAATGAGATAGTTTGTAAATGCCTGATAACAGGTTAATAAACCAAGGTCTGCCCCGGTGGTGCACACCAGAAAAAGTATACTTCACGGGTTCAGTGTAAAGATGTGTCTGAGTCGGACATTTGGTGAATTTGAAAGACGTAGTATACATAAATTTGCCATGTACTGTAATTAAGTTTTGGGTTACTTAATGTGAGTACTTTATACTTTTACTTCATTACATTTATCTGACAGCTGTAGTTACTGGTTATTTTGCAGATTATTTTCACAAAAGATATGATAAACTTCTAAAACAAGATACACTCCTCTTGTCACCAAGTCATTTTCTCATGAAAACCTAAAGAAATATCTACCAGTGTAAGAGTATTTCAACCTTTTTTTCAATGTAAATACAATTTAAGTGCAGCGCCAAGACTTACTCTTTCCTGTTTCAATACATAGACACTCGTTTCTAGATTAAAAAATAAGCAAGTTGATTTAAATTACAAATTTGGTCAAAATATTTTGTCTTCACTGCAAAATAAGGTTAATAGGACTCAATTATAGACAGAAATGTTTTCATGAGATTGAGGTTTTCGCAGATTAAACAGCCCCAACTCTGTATAAAGTAGTTATATTCACACCCCTAGTATTAACTTTCAGAGTTAATGTTTCAGTTTTAGGTCCACTCCTGTGCCTTATGTTTGGGAAAAAGAGAAACGTGCAAATATTTTATTAGACATTTTTAACATTCCAGCCCTTAAACATTTCACTGAAGTTAGTTGAAGGTCAGAATGTGTTGGAGCATCCTTTGTAGAAGTCACTGAAAACCCCCTCAAAAAAACCCATACTTTTTTTCTGCAGGTAAGGCTCATTTATACTCCCTTTACACACAAAAACAGATCAGCTCATTTCAAACGTGACCTTCATGCCTTATTTCCACATAGGTATGTGTACGAAGACGAGGCATCCGGAGGTCCATTCATTCCTATGGGAATCTCTGTGATATCCAATGTGCCTTCGAATCTTCTCCCCTCAGTAGAATTTTGGTGTGGAATTTAAAATAACTGAACTTTTGCGGTGGATTTCGGAGAGACTATATGACAGTGTGCTAGCTTAGCTAACAGGCTGCTAACTAGCTAATGGGCTATTTTCTTCAGTTCAATTGCCTGTGATGATCGTCAGGTGAGTTTGTCCGATTAAAAAGAACTTG